CGTTCACGGTGGTGTACCGGAAGGGGACACAACATTTGAACGCGGATGGCTTGTCACGCCTTCCTCCGGGTGATGGGTGCGCGTGTTTTATGGGCTCGGGGAGATGCAAATCGGCCACGAGTACCGCTCCGGCTTCTCCCTTGGCAGCGGCAGCAGGGGTGGTTGATAGGGAACCTGTCGCCGAGGGGGACTCGCAGGTGTTGGTCGCTCGCGACTCACTCCTCGATCTGCCTCTGGACGAATGGGGACGGTTCCAGATGGAAGACAATTCCCTCCTCAGGTTACGCCGTCGTGTGGAGAGAGGGGGAGATTGTCAGGAAAGGGTAGGTATTGTCAGGTTGCGGGAGGGTCTCCTCATGTCATGGGACGCCAGCTCGGGGCGTTACAGAATCGTCGTCCCCACCGCTCTGCGGGGCAGGGCCGTGTGGGCGGCGCACGAACGCGTCCTGCATTTAGGTATTCACAAAACGCTCGCTACACTGCAATTGGATTTTTTTTGGCCGGGAATGGCGCGCGATGTCGCCGACCTTTTGAATAGTTGCACACAGTGTGCGCGGCGGAAACACCCGGCTAGGGCGGCTTGCCCACCCCTTCAGTCCATTCAGGTGTCCCGGGTTAATGAGTTGGTGGCTCTTGACATTCTGGGTCCCTTCCCTGTCACCGCTCGGGGAAATAAGTACCTGCTGGTTGGGGTTGAATATTTCACCCGTTGGCCTATGGCCTGGCCCCTCCCCAACCAGTCGGCAGCAGCCATTGCGGAGGCGTTTCTCCAGGGCTACGTCCTGGATAAGGGTGCCCCGGAACGGCTGCTAACCGACCAGGGAAAGAACTTTTCGTCCAATCTTCTGCGGGAGGTTTGTGACCTTTTGTGCACACAGAAGGTCCGGACTTCCCCCTACCACCCGCAGACCGATGGTATGGTCGAACGTCTACACCGGACCATTACCTCTATGTTGTGTCATCAGGTAGACGACACACAGTTGGATTGGGACCTGAGGATTCCCGGAGTTCTGGCCGCATATAGGTTAGCGCCTCACGCGGCCACGGGCTATTCGCCCTTCTACTTAATGTACGGCAGGGAAGTCGACCCCCCCGTGGAGGTGCAATTGCGGGTCCAGTCTGCGGCTTCTCGCTCGAAACTGTCCGAACACGCTCAGTTCAATATTCGGAAGTTGGTCGAGGCGAGGGTGGCCGCGCAGGAAAATTCCAGGGCAAGGCAACTGGCCAATGAGCGTCTGTATGATCGCCGGGTTACGGTGTATAAATGGGCGGTAGGGGATAAGGCGTGGCTGCACTGCCCGCAGGTGCCGCTGTCGACGTCATCGAAATTGCTGCGGCCCTGGCGGGGGCCGGTCGACATTGTTCGGGTCGTTCGGGACCAGTGTGTTAGGGTCGCGTGCGGACGGCGTTCTTGGTACGTGCACCCCTCGCGCCTGAAGCCCTATGTCGCACCACGCACTCACACACCTTCATCTCGCAGGGGCCGGCCGCGTGACGTGTCCGGCAGGTTGGGGGAGGGGCCTCGTGACCCCCTTGTTGTTCCAAAACCCCCTGCCACTCTTTCGGATGCTGCAGGTGTGAGTCCACCTAGGGTGGTCTCGCCAGAGGAGCGGGAAGCGAGCCGGCCGCCTGTCCAGCAGGAAGACGGCTCGCGGGCTGTGTCCCCGGGGCCTCGAAACGTGCCGGACGCCCGTCATCTGGCCCCTCCTGACCCTCCGCAAGGAACGCTGGCTTCTGGCGATGGACCCGCCACACGGACTCGTTCGAAGGGTCTCAGGTTCTCCTGAGACCTGTCGCAGACACACTGCCTCCTCACGGGGCCTGGGTGTTCGAGTCACCTTGTTCGTTGGTGTGGTGTGTCCGCGGTGTTCTTGTGTACAGGGGGGTTGGGGTAAATTATCGGGGATAGTTGTGTTGTTGTTGTTCTGTTGTTGTTATTGTTGTGTTGAGGCTCACGCATTGTTATTGTCGTGTTCAGAATTCCTGGTTCGCGAGTTAGGGTTGGGATGTGGATAGTGATGCAGCCGGGACGGCTGCGTGCTGTATAGGGGGGGGTGATGTGGTGGTCAAGGTTGACACCAAGGTTGACACAGGTCACACAGGTCACACAAGCTAGGGGAGAGGTACGTACCGGTCTGGACCGGCCCGGATTGACAGGGACGAGAGGTGGTTGGAACGGCTCTGAGGGGAGGGGGCTGGCGAGAGCCAGGGCCCGAGACACCCCCGCCCCTCAGAGAGAGGGGATATATAAGACGGCTCCCGGAGAGCGGAGGGGTCGATCGGAGGAGAAGCTGAAGGAGGAGAGCCGGAGATCCTGGACCCCCGAGCCTCAAGGATGCCGCCCCGCTGGAACTGAGTGGGCTGAGTAGCTGTAGGCTAGGGAAGAGAGTAGCTGAGTAGCTGTAGGCTAGGGAAGAGAGTAGCCGAGTAGCTGTAGGCTAGGGAAGAGAGTAGCCGAGTAGCTGTAGGCTAGGGAAGAGAGTAGCCGAGTAGCTGTAGGCTAGGGAAGAGAGTAGCCGAGTAGCTGTAGGCTAGGGAAGAGAGTAGCCGAGTAGCTGTAGGCTAGGGAAGAGAGTAACAGAGTAGCTGGAGGCTAGGGAAGGAGAGAAATGAGAATAGAGCCGGAGGCTGTACCTCCCTAGGTTGTGTGTGTGGGACTGTCTCCCCAGTGAGTCCTGAGGACTAGTGTTATCGGAATAAAAGCGTGTGGCCTCTACGAAGTGTCGGTCTCATTCAAGAATACTACACTTGTATGATAATAATGTCTTACCAAGATATCTTCTTGAATATATTTATATAGCAAGGATAGTGCACCGTGTATTTCCATGCCAATTGTTTTTTCACAAGGTGGGAGAGAAATTAACACCGGAGACGAGACCTTTTGAGATTTTTTTAAAGTGCGAAATTTGCAAATAACATCTTCAAATTGTGTTTTCCGCACAATCAAGCGAGTGACAGCATCAGTAGCAGCGGCAGTAGTACTACCAGCTGTAGTAGAAAGTTATCACGGAAGGACCTAACGAACCTTAATTGTAGCAATTTCCATTTGGCAGTGTCGGGTGGTGGAGGGTTTTACGACAGCAATTTATTTTGTCCAGATCCTAAGGATAGTAGTTTCAAGTTTCATTTATTAGGTATTGCCCTGTGGGCCATTCGGCTCTTGAGTCGGGTGCAACCGCAACAAACAAAATATGAACAGAGAAACATCTTAAAGCGACGACGCGCAATAGAAACATCCTGGATAAACCAGCAAATCTTCCAGAAAAAGAAAAACACCGTCTTACAACGCTGTGTGCCAAAATCCCAGTGTGATGCAAGTCAAACAATAGCAACCATAAGACAATTTAGATTAAAGTTATCAGGCCAACTCCGCACTTCCGCAAGAAACATGGCTTAACCATTTGTTTTCGAAATCACCAAAATAAAGCTATAAAAACAATTTAACAAAAGTGATCATAGGAACTGTGATTCACATTTAACAATAAACGATATACATAACATGTACGACCAAACTTGCAGCCATAGCTGGCAGCATGGCACTCCCAGTGTATGATGTGTGAGTGAGTCAGTGGTAGTGTGAGTGAGCATATGATGTGAGTCAGCGTATGATGAGAGAATGGGTCAGTGGTTGTGTGAGTGAGCCAGTGGTAGTGTGAGTGTATGATGTGTGAGTCGGCGTATGATGAGTCAGTGTATGATGTGTGAGTCAGCGTATGATGAGTGAGTGAGTCAGTGGTAGTGTGAGTGAGTCAGTGTATGATGTGTGAGTTAGTATATGATGAGTGAGTGAGTCAGTGTATGATGTGTGAGTCAGTGTATGATGTATGAGTGAGTCAGTGTATGATGTGTGAGTCAGTATATGATGAGTGAGTCAGTGTATGATGTGTGAGTCAGTGTATGATGTGTGAGTCAGTGTATGATGAGTTAGTGTATGATGTGAGTCAGTGTATGATGTGTGAGTGAGTCAGTGTAAGTCAGTGTAAGATGAGTAAACACCGGATGGCGTTTTTCACAAATTTACAAAGTACCCTGGCCAACCCAAGTGGCTCCATCATCTAGTCCGTTCGTTGTCACCCTGAAAAGCCAAATACATTTGATAGCGAGACACGCCTGTTCACATTTGCCCATAGACGTAACGATGGTCTAGCAGCTTTATTTAGAGACGAGGCTCAAAAGAAAGCCGTCTCTGGTGTGGACCAATCCGTTTCAAGGACAATGCATATATTATCAGAGTGTGTTTTTTGTTTGCATTTTGACCACAAGTGTTGTGGTTAATGCACACATTATTCCTTGTAAAAACGTTTCAGCTTCTTTGCCAGAAAATAAGGGAAAAACCCCTATTACGATGACCATAAACTTAACGTTGCTGATCTTCGGGGTTAATATCCAAACGCGGTTTTGACCTCACAGCTTCCCGTCGTTTTTCCGCTTCACCCCCCTCAACAACAACATCAAGTGCCATTCGCCACTAAGTGGCGGTGACGTCACCACGGCGCTTGTGCCAGGCTAGGTGCACGTTGTGGCCACGTGACGTGTCGAACGCCCGCTGGCAAGAGGAGGTCACGGGGCAGACCCAGATGCCATGGGTAGCCCCCCCCTCGCCCCTCCCCCCCCATACGTTGTGACGTCACCGCAAGGAAATGTGACGTCATCGCAAGGGAATCTGACGTCATCGCAAGGAAATATGACGCCATCGCAAGGTAATGTGACGTCATCGCAAGGAAATGTGACGTCCTCGCAAGGAAATGTGACGTCATCGCAAGGAAATGTGACGCCATCCCCCCCCCCCCCCTTTGTTGGTCGTGAAGTCACCCCCCCCCCCCGCCGGGTCGCCGTGACGTCTTTCCGAACGGGCGTGCAATCTTACATGGAATTGACGTCATGTCGGTGGGGGGGGCGTGACGTCATGTCGGTGAGGGGCGTGACGTCATCGCGGTAGAGAGAGAGAGAGAGAGTGGGGAGGTTCGGATGACGTCACCGTGTGCGTCGGGGGAGGGAGGTCCGACGCTGAAAATCAACACCCGGACGAGGAGGCGAGGAGAGGCAGCGCGAGAGAGGAGAGAGAGGCAGAGGCAGGCAGGAGAGAGGCAGAGAGGAGAGCGGGCGGGAGAGAGTACACGGCGGGGGAGAGAAGCAGCGGCAGCTGAAGCGGGAAGCGCGGGGGCCAGCAGCAGTAGCAGCGGCGGCAGCGGCGGCCCACGACTATGGCCTCCACTAGGCCTTACAAGCTGAGCGACAGGGGCATTCGCCCCTCTGAGGTGAGCAGCCTCCCCTGCGCACTCCACTGCCCCCCATGCCCTCCCCTCCTTGCCCTTCCCTCCTTTCCCCTATCTCCCCACCCCTGCCCCCCACTGCCCCTCAAATACCCTCCACCTCCCTTCCCCTATCTCCCCGCCCTTCCCCTATCTCCCCGCCCTTCCCCTGCCCTTCCCTCTGCTGCCCCCCTCCCTACCTGGCCTGTCTTCCCGACCCTGTTCGCTCACCTGGGGAATTGCCGACGCCGCCGCCGCTCGCGGTGACACGGAGAGGTGTAGGGGGCCCGGCGAATGTGCCCCGTACCCCCCCCCCCCCCCCCCCATGTACCCATCGTCCCACTCCCATATTTATATACGTTTCGGTGCTCGTTTAACGCGGTAGATGCGTTTCTGAAATGTTAAGCGAAACCAATTCCTCCCCTCCCTTTCCCCCAATAAATAACGTAACGATAAAGTTTCGCGAGATAACGACGTACGCGCACTTCGGCAAGGAAGTGAAATGACTGGACCGCCCGATTAGCGCGGTTGGCTACGTACGGTGCGAAAGAAGTCCAACGTACAAGTGCGTCCGGGGAACAAATAATTGTTAATTTTACGTCGCGTTCTGTATCGCTCAGCCGCGCTCTGCTCAAGGAAGTAGTTCGTCGTTGATCGCTCGGAAACCGCGTTATAAGAGGCGCGTTTCGCGTTATAAGAGGCGCGTTTCGCGTTGTAAGAGGCACGTATCGCGTTGTAAGGGGCGCGATTCGCGTTATAAGAGGCACGTTTCGCGTTGTAAGGGGCGCGTATCGCGTTATAAGAGGCACGTTTCGCGTTATAAGAGGCACGTTTCGCATTATAAGAGGCACGTTTCGCGTTATAAGGGGCACGTTTCGCGTTATAAGGGGCACGTTTCGCGTTATAAGAGGCACGTTTCGCGTTATTAGAGGCACGTTTCGCGTTATAAGAGGCACGTTTCGCGTTATAAGAGGCGCGTTCCGTGCTGTGCGCAAAGTGTTCCCTAATGGCAGATCCGCGTTATGTACGCGTCTTCTCTGCTCCTCTGCTGCCCCTGCTTGAGACTGCCCTCACCTCGCTCGCACTGCCCTGTATTCTCCTTGTGTTTGTACCCGTGCCTTGCCTTCTCATATTCGCTGGCCCACACGGCCCGACTCTGCCCTCGTGCCCTGCCCTGGCATTGCCCTTGTGCCTCGTCCATCTCCGCTGACCCCTCCCGCTGAGCGGTCAACTGCCTTGCCACCCACCACCACCACCTGGTTGCGTGCAACTAACTGGTCGCGTGCAACTGAATCGCCCGTATGTGGACGCCTCTGCAACCAGTTGCGGTCGCTGACCCCACCGCTTTTCGAGCGTCGATGTTACTCGGCGATTTGTAGCGACTGAGTTCACTCTGCGCTGCGCGTTTGAGAAGAAATAAGTAATATTGAGAAATACTTTTTTTAAAACACGCTTTAGTAAAATGTTCCGTACGAGTAATGGCAAAACTCCACGACTCCAGGAAGTGGCCCCGAAGCTTGCCATAACGTAAGTGACCGTGGTGATTTACAGCCAACGTCAGTTGAGCGTGGACAATTAGACCCAAGCCGAAACATAACATATAAAAAAGATGGTTTAAAAATATTTATTTTTAATTTTTTAATGATAGAATATAGTATTGTCATCAGTAAGACATAAGTATACCAAGTTTGCAGTCGATACCACATTGGGAAGTGGGTTAAAATTGAGTTACAAGATTTGAGGATACGACAACAACAACAGAGTGAGTTAATAGAAAGCGTGTAAAAAGATTGTTTAAAAATATATTTTTAATTTGTATGATATAATATAGTATTGCCATCAGTTAGACATAAGTATACCAAGTTTGTTTGCAGTCGATACCATATTGGGAAGTGGGTTAAAATTGAGTTACAAGATTTGAGGATACGACAACAACAGACAAAGTGAGTTAAATAAAAAGCGTGTAAAAAGATTGTTTAAAAATATTGTTTTTAATTTGTATGATAGAATATAGTATTGCCATCAGTAAGACATAAGTATACCAAGTTTGCAGTCGATACCATATTGGGAAGTGAGTTAAAATTGAGTTACAAGATTTGAGGATACGACAACAACAACAACAGTGAGTTAAATAAAAACGTGTAAACAAAGTGGCGTTGCGAGACGATGCGAGGGTAATATGTCCCCGTTGTGCAACTGCTCTCTTCTCTTCTCTCTCAGAGGCGGGCAAAGCAAAAGTCGCGCGATTTTGAGAGCGATTTGGTTGGGCAACTGGATCGGCCAGACGTTTCTCTCAGACTGATTTATTTGGGATCTTGTCGCCGTCAGTTGCTCTTCCGTCTCTCGTTGATTGTTGCGAATGGCTGTTGTTGTTGCTGTTGCTGTTGCTGTTGTTGTTGCTGTTGTTGCTGTTGTTGCTGTTGTTGGTTGCACCGGGGGGTGGGGGTCGTCGTAATTGGACCTTCATCCACAATTCGTAACAAAATTGACGAAAAATTTAACGAATTCCGTGAATACAAACAACACTGATGCGTTAATTCTAGATTTGAAGCTTTCGTGACTGCAAGGATTCATATTCTTAGGTTTTTTCGGTAAAGTCACGTAGGTAAAACATCAAAATTAATAAAAATAAAATAAAACAAAAAATCACGACGTTTCGGAGGCAACACAAGTCTCACCACTTGATGCAGCTAATCCGGCTGTGACGGTCCCACCTGATGACGGAGACTTGTGTTGCCTCCGAAACGTCGTGATTTTTTATTTTATTTTTATTAATTTTGATGTTTTACCTACGTGACTTTACCGAAAAAACCTAAGAATATGAACACTGATGCGCTGTGGGGGGGCGGGGGGTCTCCCTGGCATTAGTCAGACTGAGTGCTATTTGTAAATTGCAAAAAGGGTTTTATAGAAAACATATGAACATATAATATGTAGTAATCTGGGTTTTTTTTGTGTGTATGTAAATATTGTTGTGTTCGCTTACACCGATGGCGCGGCTAAATGTTCATGCTGAAGATGAGTGGTGCCGAGCTATATGAAGTGGCATCAGGTACACTCACATATTTGGTGTGACGTCTACCAATTCCAGGAAAACTCAAATATTACCCCAGCAGGGAAATCTTACCACAGGCCCACCTCTAACTCTACATCAGTGGCAATTGGTTTACTGAATTAGCGACGAAATACAGTTGCCAACGGCGTGTTATGAACCGAGATTCCAAAAAGATTCGCGTAAATAAGCGAGAATCCATGGTGTCACAAGACAATTTATTTTTTTATTGGATGAACAACAAAATGTTAACACGTCTTTACAGAAAGATAGACAGCGCATAGCAAATGCAGTTGTTATGTTCAGTGGCATGGGGTTCCCTGTTTGGTCATCCCTGCAATACACAGAAGCAATCGGCCAATTTTACCAGTGAGAAGTTTTTTACCACCACCACCTTATCGGCCCTACACAGTTGCACATTTACACCAGGGGACTGGCAACAACATCCAAATATCAGAGGACTCCGCCTTCACGTGGGAAGGCTCTCTCTAATTCTGTTCGTTGCTCCCCGGACCACGTCAACCTCGTCCTGTGCCACACACGCTCTCTCAATCCTCGAGATCCACCCAGACTCTGCCTTGTGGATCTCCTCTCGTCCACTCGACACGCACCCTTGATGCTGTCCAGACTCGGGAAGGATAAAATAAAATTTGTATATTTGCCAAAACTACACATGGTCGCTTTCAATTGTTGCAAGCATAATTGATAGTGTACCGTGGTCAGGTGACGTTCTGTCTTACTTACTTTTATTCAGCCCTTGCCTTGACAAGATACCCACGGATGCTGCCAGCTTGCATTGGTAAAAGTAACGCCCTGAGATTAATGTGAAGCTTACTATTTTTACTCTGAGGACTTATCAGTCTCTCCTAATGTTCAAGCCTGCGTACTTTACTACGCGTTCTTCGTACTCATTGACATGTAATTTTTTTCTATAACCCCTCCCTCTCTCTGCCTCCGCCCCCCTCTGTCTATTTAAGGCCACCCCACAGAGACGATCTCCCTCTCTGTACCTGTGTTACTCTCTCTATGTATCTTGGTGATATCTGTCTGCTTATATGTCTGTCTATAGTTTTCTGGTCAGATGTTTTGTTGCTTGTTCATTTATACCTGATGATGATTGCTTGTGTTGCAATCGAAACGTCGTATGCTATTATTTAATTTATTATTTTATCTTTATACGTGACTTTACCGAAAGAACCAAAGAATAATACACTTATCAGTCCCCTTCCAGGATTTTAACGAGGAACCTTTTGCTTGTGAACTGCTGTTTTGTGTGTGCGCTTGCTTGTGGTGGTTGCAGGTGAATCGCAAATACCTCCACACCAACTCAACCAGTCACACCTGGCCTTTCAGTGCATTTGCCGAGCTTATCGGTGAGTCCATGTGATGTACAACAACGATAATAAACATCCTTTTTTTTTTTATTGGAGGCTATCGACGTTGCTGTGTGGTTAAACAAAATTTTTTGCAGGTTTATTTAAATAATTAGCCTACTTTTTACCATCAGGCGGGCAAACTTAACCTTCCGAACGGAATGGTTTTTAGAAGTAGGTTGTCTCAGCCAACTTTTCTAACAGGAAATGAATGTTACGTAACATGTATTATGTTTGCTCAATGTTTTAGACTTATTCTGTCATGCTGTCGTTATTGTTATGATTTATATTTGTTTGTTTTTTCTCTGATTGCTGTTTGATTCATTGTTGTACTCAGTTTTTTTAAAATTCCTTTGTCACTATGGTGACCCACGGTCACTCTTGCAAACGAGGCTCTCCCTGGCCTCTTGAGTTCCCAACTTGGCTAACCACAACAAACTTTAAACCTGAAACGAGCTCTCGCACAGCGGGGAGCACTGGTGTAGCGCCTGCATTGTCACGTCGCTCCTAACACCCCGGGACCTTGTCCCGTGACCTCGCAGACAACGCGTACGACCCCGATGTCGGTGGCAAGCAAATCTGGATCGACAAGACGGTCATCAACGGAGAGCAGTGCCTCATGTTTCGCGACAACGGCAAGGGCATGTGCCCCGACAAGCTGCACAAGATGCTGAGGTACATATATGCACACGCATGGACGCAGGCGTCGCTGCGTTATCCGCCTCCGTTGGCCGTCCTCTCTCGCGCTCAGGTTTCCACTGTTTTGTAGGAAATCCGGTCGGATACTCCGGCTCGTGACAATGCCAGCGCAATGAGGATACTTCTTCCTGGTTCTTTCGGTAAAGTCACGTAGAAGGGAGATAATGAAATAATAAAAATAAAACATAGTAAAATAATTCTCACGACGTTTCGGCCACAACGCAAGCAGCCGTACCGAAAGAACCAAAAAGATGAATCCCTGCAGTCACGAAAGCTTTAAATCGAAATTTAATCAGGATACTGTTGGAATATATAAAATGTAAATAAACTGTAAATAGAAATTGCCCTGATCATGGGAGGGGCTTCTTCTACCAGCCTGGCGTTATTAGAGAATAGAGTTCTGCTTCTTTGCTTTTTCCCCACAATGCTCCACAGTCGCGCGTAAGAGAAGCGTGAGCCCAGGTCTGTGTGAATGGCACTCGAAGATCCTGGCTACTGATTGTGTGCGCTTGGTTAAATTGCATTTCTTTCCCTTAATTTTTGTCTGTAAAAGAATGTCATCATGCTTGGTATGTTGTATTTTTTATTTTTATTCACGTTTTTCTACCGGTTCCATATTCCCATTTACATGAAAAGCACGTTTCGATACTCGCCGTCTGTATCGCCCACCTACGTAACCATGATCGTAACCAAGTTCCGTACTGTGTAGTAACATCTGTGCTGTCGCAGGACACTCATGAAATGGAGCCTAACAGCTCGTTGGACCCTTCCTCTTGAAACAAATACAATCTATCGATGAGCAATTTGTATTATTCTTTGGTTCTTTCGGTAAAGTCACGTGACTTTACCGAAAGAACCAAAGAATAATTTCTGCAGTCACGAAAGCTCCAAAATTAATATTGAGCAATTTGTACTTATTGTCAATATTATTCCACTCTCTCGCTCCACTCGCTCCCTCGCTCCACTCCACAGCTTTGGATTCTGCGAGAAGCAGAAGGTGGACAACCACGTGCCCATCGGCATGTACGGCAACGGCTTCAAGTCGGGCTCGATGCGCTTGGGCCGCGACGCCCTCGTCTTCACCAAGAACGGCACGCAGATGAGCGTGGGGATGCTGTCGCAGAGCTACCTGGAGGCCATCAACCAGGAGACCATCATTGTGCCCATCGCCGTGTGGAGCCAGAAGGATCATATCCTTGCTGATACCGCCGGCGCTTTCCTCGCCGCCACCCCCACTGGACGCGGCGCCGGCCTCTTGATCGCGGCTAATCGTACGGACCAAACGGACGCTGAATGCGCCCCGGTCTCGCTAGATCCCGTGCCAGACGCCGGCGTAGGATGCGGGACGTCCGATAGCCGCGATGATGAGACGATGGGGCACGACTGGCTGCTCTGGGATAGCAAGCTGGCGGCGTGCGCTGGACCTTGTTCAGTTTTGGCGGCTTTGTAGAGGGTTTTTTGTATTCCGCTTGTTTACCCAGGAGAGCTTCAGGACTCCTTTTCATGAGGGTCCTGCCAATTGTTCATTCGGGGATGGTGATGTCCTATGTGTAATCCCAATTGAGTCATTTACAAAGAATTTACAAAGAGCATGACATATTTGGCCAATACCAGTTACATTGTGTTTTTTTTTTTGTTGCTTCAGGAGGATAAGGGAAAAACCCAGAGGGAAACCCATGCAGAACAGGGAGAGAGACGATACAGACTCCACACAGACAGGCACCCAAGCCGGGAATAAAACCCAGACACTTCTTCCTGTGGGGCACGAGTGTCGCCACTGCGCCACCACCCTGCTGCCATAGGATAAGTGCCGAACAGCAACACAACTTCGCACTGAAATTTCTTCTAAAACACAATCCTGCTTCGGTTGTAGGATGAAACCGGCTCTCTATCCTCCAGTTGTTAGTTTTCGCTTGGGTACAATGTGCTATTTTGTCAGTCATTTTTATTCTCTGGAGAGGAACACTGTTGCGCCGCATATCACATAATCCGATAGCCCATCCCTGGTTTGGAGTCGAACCTTAACACAGGCCCGTCGCCGGCGCTTACATAAGCTGGAGCCTGTGGAGGACCGGGAGGTGAGCTTGCGCGACATCCTCCACTACTCGCTGTTCAGGACCGAGCAGCAGCTCCTCACCGAGCTGTCCGCCATCCAGACGCGGACCGGAACCAAGATCATCATTTGGAACTTGCGCCAGTAAGATGGGAGGAAGCCCCAAAAACGCCAAGCAGCCGGCAACAAACAGCACCGTTTAATACTCTTTGGTTTTTTCGGTAAAGTCACTTAGGTAAAAAGAAGGAACATAAATTTAATCACGACGTTTCGGAGGCAACACAAGCTTCCGTCTTCAGGTGGAACCTTCACAGCAAAATTGCTGTATCAAGTGAAGAGAGCTCTTAAGAGACACGGCGCTCTCTCCGTCCCCCTAATCCCCTGCAGCATAACAAAAGGCGGGTTAACTTATCTCCCCCCCACGGCCCATCCTGGCTCCTCCCCCCCCCCTTAACCTGTATATAATCTCGTGTCTCTTAGAGTTCTCTCCACTTGATACAGCGATTTTGCTGTGACGGTTCCACCTGAAGACGGAAGCTTGTGTTGCCTCCGAAACGTCGTGATTAAATTTATTTTCCTTTTTTTTTACCTACGTGACTTTACCGAAAAAAACAAAGAGTATGGACCCTTGCAGTCACGAAAACTTCAAATCTAGCACCGTTTAAGTTGAATTTGCAAGAGTGTGTTTCTGAGTTGGGGCCTGTGTCACCGTCTCTCGCGCGGTCTGTCTCAGGAACCGGGCAAAATCGCTGGAGCTCGATTTTGAGACCGACAAATACGACATCCTCATCCCCCACGACTTGGTGGAGGAGCAGTTGGGGTTGAACAACAGGCAAAGCTACGGGGAGAGGCAGCGACAGATGCCGGACAGCGAGTACTCATTGCGGGTACGCGTTGGGACGGCGTGCGCCTGCGTACCGCTTGTGTGTGCGCGCGAGCGTGTGCGTTTGTGTGTGGCAGGGCACATGCTTGCAGGTGGCACAGTGGGGAGCACAGATGGTGCATCTATCGGTCGTCTCGGGTAATTCACGACACGTGGCTCTGTCCCGTGCCCTCGTGTGGCGAGGCGATGACTCTGGGGGAGTGGGTGTTGTGGAGTGCGTGTCGGTGCGTGTAAGCGACTTGAGGATGGGATTTGTTGTTGATGACGATGATTATCTTGATGATGTTGATGACAACAATGAAGATCACGATGATGCTTCTGCAGGCGTACTGCAGCATCCTGTACCTGAAGCCGCGTACCCAGGTGATCCTGCGTGGAGCCAAGGTGAAGACTCAGCTGATCGCCAAGAGCCTGGCCCACATCGACCACGACATCTACCAGCCCATGTTCCTCACCTCCATGGTACACAAGCATGCAAGCATGGCCGTGGGGGCACACACACCGTCTCCTACCGCTTACCTCATCTCACCTTGCTCCCCTCCACACACGCTCCTGCAGCTCCCCTTTAACCTCACCTTACTCCCCTCCTTGGATTCTCTGCTCCAACAACCAATGCTTCTCTGTCGAAGCCCAACACTCGCAAGCGGCGAGCAACAAAAAAAAAACACTGTCGCATTTCAGATGGGTCGGAGTGCAGCCCGTTTCTAGACCTAAAGCAAGGTTGTTAGAGCTCAGGGGGGAGACGACGAGAGTGAGTTCCACAGTCGGAGTGCGAGGGAAGAAGCAGAAAGAGAAGTGAGGTGACCTGCAGTGTGGTGAGTGCTTGGGTGAGCAAGTAAGCTGGTGAGTGGTGGGTGATTGCTTGAGTGAGTGAGTGAGTGGGTGAGTGATTGCTTGGGTCAGTGGGTGAGTGATTGAGTCGGTGAGTGAGCGAGTGGGTCAGTGGGTGACTGAGTGAGTTCTTATGACCTGCGATGTTCTGGTGGGGGTTTAACAGGGTGCGGATGAGACGAAACAGTCATTCTGGTCGTGGGTGGAGAAATAGAAGTTGATGAGCGGAGTGTTGAGATGTGGACACACCTGGACGCGGCATGACTCCAACGTGCAGAATTGTAAGCGTATCCTGGGCGGACCTTCGGAGAGTTGCCTCGTGTGTTGTTCACCGAGAGTGTGTTTATTCGTTGCCCCAACAGTCTGTAAAGGCTTTGTTCTTGTCTTTGTAGAAACGTAAAGTGAAGGTCACGTTTGGGTTCAACTGCAAGAGCAAGGTGCACTACGGCATCATGATGTACCACCACAACCGCCTCATCAAGGCCTACGAGCGCATGAAGTGTCAGCTGCAGGTGCATGCACGCCGCACACTCACCGCCCGCAACGCTTCCCCCTGGGAGGCGGCGGCGTTAGCTACGCTGTCGCACGTGGCCGCCCGTAATCCGGCACCGTGGAGGCAGCTAGCAGCGAGGGTTGGTGAATCACCGCACTGATGTTGCGAAGCTCCCTTCCCCCGTGAGAGTCACGGAGAGGAGAGCCGTATCCTGGCTCGCCAGGAGAGGTCGGTAACAGCAAAGTGCGGACTAATTTCAACTGTCCCTTTTGTATGGGATAGAGCGTTGCCCCTTCACACACTTGGGTTTTTTTTTTCCTGGCGCTCCGGTTTGCTCCCACATGTTTAAACACTCATCTTAATATATGATGGACTGCAGAGCTTGGGCAATTGTTGACAACACAGGCTCCTTACCACGTGGCTACTGCTGCTGCCTTCCTGCTCGTCCGTGGTTCAGCAGCGATTGTGAGAGACGCGATTCGCATGAACGCCGACGCAGTATAAATGAAATGTTACCACCCCCCTTCCCCACAGCATTCACCACTCGCCATGCTCTCCAGCCATCATGCGCAACACTCACCACGCATACCACTCACCCAGTCACAACACGCATCACACATACCACCAGTCAAAGCACTCACCACGCGCACTGCTCGCCATTCCACTCGCAACACCACATATCACCCGCGCTGCTCATCTTGCACACCACAGGCGCATCGTTCAACACACAAATACACACCGCTAGCCCCACACACCAGTCGTCACGTGTAAGCCACTCGGCACGCAACACCACACGCTCGCCTCTCGCCGCGTGCGTTGAATGCACCGCCGCTCACCGCGCTCTCCACACGCGCGCCGCTGTCTTCCAGGCGAACGGGGTGGGTGAGGGCGTGATCGGCATCATCGAGTGCGACTTTCTGAAACCCACCCACAACAAGCAGGACTTTGACCAAACCAACGAGTACAGGTGAGCGTGCGGGCCCACGATGCCAATCTCTGGCGTTCTTTGCCGACGGTGACCGGATTGGCAGGTGACGGCCGGGGGGGCAGGGTCCTGGGGAGGGGTCGCTGCGCGTCTCCTGTGGGACGTCTGAGGGCTGTGGCGGAGGGTGGCGTGGACGCGTTGGAGGCGCAGCTCGGGCCCGCGGTGACGTCTTCTTGACCTCGGCGTTGTCAATAATTGCATTGAAAAAACCCCCAAAGATGATTGGTTCACGCAGTCTCGCCGACGTGCATTGACCAGAGTGGTGAAGTGTGGTCAAACGTGTCCGACGCGGCACGGTGAGGCCCTCCTCCGGCGGTGACAGACAAAGGGCTTTGCGTTATCTACGTGACGCTTTCCAACTGCGTTTTGAAGTGTTAAGGCTACAGCTGCTCTGCATATATTCAGAGGCCTTTCAGACTTAGCCTGATGAGTCCGGTTACCTCTGTGCTCACGGAATGAGCGCGACGCATGACACGGGCGAATCGGGAACGAGCCGGGCTTGCCCCTCCGGACGTGTTCGCGCTCTATGTACGTATGTTGAACTTCTTTCACACTGTACGTAGCCAACTGTGCTAATTTGAGGTGCCGTGTGTGTTCGCCGTCGTTCAGGCTCACGCTGTCTGCCGTGGATCGCAAGCTGCAGGAATACTGGAGAGACCGCAGCAATCTGAGTTCGTTTCTCGTGGATTCCACCTTCAACAGCAAAGACCTGATGTGAGAAACTAAACACAGCAGACCTGTCCCTCCACATACCTCCACGTACAAAACAAAAGCATTTCTTAAACAAAGGCACCTTTGGTTCCAGTTGCTGGGTCACTGCCGTGATGTGAGAAACACCGATCAGGGTTAGGGTCGTTAAGTCCGGTTCTGATAGCGTTATCGATAATCGAATGCGAAAAATTAAACGGAACAAAAAAATTCGGTTAACCTTCACCCACCCGCACTGACCCACGTGGTGAAGTACGGTCATACAAGCGCCATGATTGAAAACGTCTTGGCGATGCCTTTATCATGTACTTGACGGAAGGGCTGTAAGTTATGTAATATACACGTGAGTATGTAATTGGTTGTCACGTGACGAGACGCATCGGAATGCTTGGTTTGAACGTTACCGCAAATTTCACCAAATTTCAATCATTCTTCGCAAATTTCCTGATTGGGTAATTCATGAGTTACAGCAACACCGACTACTGCCGACCGCACACGTCTGTGAAACGTTGTAGGAATGACGCGAGCACCGAATGCGCCCCCACGATTTGAAATACATGGCGATGGTGCCGATAATGGTTTTGGCGAGAGGTTTTTTGGCGCGCTGCCGGGCCGGCGTTCATGGTGCGTCGTCGCCCGCGTTGTGCCGCCGGCAGAGAGAAACCCGACCAGATCTGGGCTCAGTGCGACAGCTGTCTCAAGTGGCGCAAATTGCCGGATGACATCGGCAAACTTCCCGACAAGTGGTACTGCCGGCTGAACCCCGACCCACAATTCAGGTGATTCCCTCTTCCCCCCTACCCCACCACTTTCCCCCCCCCCCCCCCACATTGCAACACTCTTTTTTTCAATAATAATGTTTGCATCTCTATGACGTTTGCTCAAAGTCCTCCGTAACTGGCAGAGTGGCTCCAAAGCTTACAGACAGCAGAAAAAGAACTTGCCTCGGCATCACGGATATGCCGGTGGAGGCTCGCCCTCCCCCTACAGAGCCCCTGTGGTCTTGTCGCGGCCTATGGCCGCTTCCTGCACGCTTCCGTGACCGTGGCCAATTTAAGTACCTGCGGGGAAAAGAAAAGCACACTCGATGATATCTGTTCTCAGTTGGATTTTGTGGTTTTCATGCACACGCCAGGACCTGCGATGTTCCCGAAGAGGCGGAGGACACCGACGAGATGGACGTCTACAAGAAATCCGTCCGCCGGCGGTAAGCGGTCCATCCGGGACACCTCCGGCACGCCCTGATCCCTCGGGGCCCCTCCCGCGCGCCCATTCGAGTGGTGCCGCGCGTTTGCACGACGACGTTCCAACGTTTCCCCTTTGCGTGCCGGGGAGCTTCGTTGGCTTCGGACGGAAGCTCCCGTCGCGCGGAGCGAAACGGGACGTCACGCCCGAGCGGAGCCGTCTCCGCGCCTTCGGCGAAACCTCGTCGTCGTCAGACTGGAACTCCCCCACTGCTGGGCAGAGGGCCTCCCCCATTCTCGTCTGCTCCCTGCTCTCCCCAGCTGTGACCTCCGGACTCTGACGCTGCCTGCTGCTGCTGCAGTCTCTTCTGCTGTCTCTCCTCCGCTTCTCTGCCGCTTCTCTCGATCTCTGCTCAGGGAATTGGTTTTTGTCTCTCTTCAGTTGATCTCACGACATGCGCTGCCCGTGTACGCTCGCCCTTCTGTTGTTTTGCTTTGCGTCGGCATTTGTGACCGCTGTGCTTTTTCCCGTCTTTCTTCATACGGTCAACTTGGATTGGTCCTAAAGCATGCAGCGAACCCGTAAGACTGAGATCCTATAAGACTGTCGCAGAGCCTACGCCCAACTCGTGTGACTGAATGGACCCGAGCCCTGTTTTAAGAATCACTCTCTCCCATCCACATAGAGAGCTGAGAGAGAAGGCTGAGCAACAGCAGAATGCAAGGCTGCAGAAAGAGGTGAGCTTACCTTGTCCTGCCCCGTGCGTCACCTGTGTGTGCGTCTGTGTGTGTGGGGAGCGGTAGTGTAGGGGTTAACATGCTGCACTATTATTCCCACTCACGGCCAACACCAAGTGACGATTATCTGAACCAGTCTTGGGCCTCCTAGTGTCACTCGGCCTCAATTGAGTACCTCGGGTGGTGTGTAAACATCACCACTGGGGAGACAAAGGCGGTCGGGCGTGGTGCTGGCCACCCACCCGCTCATGTGCCGTGCCGGCACTCATTGGTGCCCACGGATAGCGCTTACCCCAAAAGTCTTTGAAGGCTAAAGGTGCGATCTTTGTGTTTGCATGTGCGAGTCCTTGGAACAGCCGAGTCGCACGCGGGTTTTCAGAGTCGCTCGTAATCTCGTTGTGCCCTTCCGGGATGGGAATTTCTTCTCTCAAGCGTTGGCCACGCACCGCCGCGCCCATCTGCGTGTCCACTTCCGAGTGCGCGTTTGTGCGTACTCGCTGTGATGGCGCGTGCCGTGACTGTGCGTGCGCGTGTTTTCTGGGTCGTGTTCCGCAGGCAATGCAGCGTAAAGTGCAGCTGGCTGCCCAAGCTAAGCAGTCGAACCAGGTACGACCTGACCCAAACCTTCCCCCCCCCCCCCCCTCTCTTCTCCACTCTCCACGTTTCCTCGTCCACTCCCATGGTCAATGCCTGCCCCACTGTCAATAGCACTGTTGTGGTTGGCGTGCTTAGCTCTGTTGAAATGTGCTCTCTGTCACCATCAGCCCTCGTGCGCCGGGCCGGCCTTAATTAGGTGCTCGCTAATAGCACTTGCCCCGAGAGGAACCCGATTGGTCGGGTAGTAGAACCGATAACCGGTACAGTAATCGATGACGGATATAATTGGGAAGAGCCCAGCTCCACTTCTGACTGCGTCGTGCTCGTTTCGCCTGCGTCTTCTGTCTCCTGCATCTCCTGTCGTACTTTCCGACTCTCCCGTCCAGGTGGTTCCCCCGCTGGTTATCCACACGGTCACCGACGGCAACGGCATAACCAGCGCAGCGGTACTGCACACGGGGAAGCCACCCACCCTCGTCGGCGCCGCCGCGCCCGCCGCCGGCGCTGCCTCACCGTCCGTGCCGACGGCTAGGCGGCTGCCGGCCGGTGCGGAGGCCGCTGGGCCGGAGATGGTGCAGAACCTGATGAACAGGGTGATCCAGGAGGCGGCTTTCCTCAAGCGCGAGAAGGAGAATCTCAAACAGCTGTCCCGCCAGGTGGGCCGACGTCCTCGAATTGTCCGACATGTTCACGCGACACGTGCCGCGCGGGGTCCTAGCTCGCGGTTACGGAGTTAAAGTTTGGCCGTTGGCGGGAGGGGGGTGGCTTTTTTTCTGTTGTGATGACGTGTATTTGTTAAATCGTAATGCCGAAGATGATGTAGAAAGAGAGCGGCTTCATCGTTTGCAGAATGCAGCAACCTCAGACCTCCGCTGAGCTTGGTTAGCGGACAGAGGCTTCAATGTTACCACGTGTGCTTGGTAGTAATGGACATCTCATTTAAAACACTTTGTAGAATTTGTGCAGGGGAAATGTTTGGAGCCAGCCAATGGAAGGAAGCACTTACAACTGGGAGATGGAGCGGTGAGATCAGCTTGTGTGCAGGAAGCAGGTGGTTCAAAGGTCAACTTTATTCGGGTGTGACAGCGTGTGTGACTTCACTACCAGTTGCTTGAGTCGCTCTCCCTCTACCCAAAGTCCGACGAGCACAAAAGGCAAACGGAGAATCTGGAGTGTTAAAGGATGGCAAATGTTACCGGTGAGTGCATCTGTACCAACTGCCTGATGTAAACCCAGACGGCCTGTCCAGCAGCAGCAGTGGAATGTGCAGCTGCAGTCCCGTTTATGAAGTGATATCCGGAATCAGATTTGCCTGATTAACCTCAGGCTTCTTCGGGCCTTGTTCAGGCCTACTGGAGGTTTGGTGCTCATGGTTTGGCGTTGTGGTCTACGGAGAACGGTTGTAGGAGGGCGACTTGAGCGAACTGACAACAAGAGTCGCACACGCAGGCAAATCCGCATTAAGTCTAAATATGAATTCTCATTGAAGGCGCCGAAGCCTTCAATCTAACGAGCTAGACAGTTCGCCGCGTCCTGTGACTGCGATGCATGGCGGCAGCTTGGGAAAGCCCTCTTCCAGCAATGGCTAGAGCATGGACGTGGATGATGACGATGATGACGACGATGATGACGATGATGACGACGATGATGATGTGTGTGTGAGCAGGGCATGGCGTGGCGGGGGGGGGGGGGGCGGTAGTTTAGCGGTTAGCGCGCTGCGCTTCGAACCCGACGATCCGAATTTGATTCGCACTCATGGCAAACACCAGTGACGATTGTCTGAACTCGTCAGGGGCCTCCCTTAGATCGACACAGCCTCAAATGAGTACCTGGCACAGGTGTGTAAACATCAGCTTTGGAGAGACAAAGGCATCCGGGCGTGGTGCTGGCCACCAACCCATCCATTTGTGTGCTGTGCCAGCCTTCACAGGTGCTTGCTTAACAGTCTGTTAAGGCTACGCGGGGGATCTTTGTCGTTGTTTGCAGACCATACAGGCAGAAACCACGGCGGTCGCAGAGATCTCAAGGATAACCGCGCAGCACAAAATGGCGTCTTGCTCCTCCACGGCGTCCCCCTCCACCTCCTCGTCCTCCTCGGCGTGCGAAGGCCTTCGCATCAGCGACGTCAAGAGCCTGAGCGCGGACGGCGCGTGGCGGCAGCAGTCCCCGTGCGCCAACGGCACCGGCTCCAGCCCCGGCGGCGTAGCCAACCGGTGGGTCCCGCTCGAGTTGCGCTCGCCCGCAGCCTGACCGCGGCTGTGCCGTTGTGCCCCGCCGGAGGCTTTGTCGGTGGCGTTCCGCGGCTCTCCCGACGGCGTTTTTTTGAGTTGCGCCGTCGCGTGCCGTTGGGCCACCGCGTCCGTTGTTTCGCTCGGTCCACGGTCCGGGAGCTTCTTCGGGATAACCAATTCGCTTCGTTTCTCGGGGAGCGCAACGGGCATCGTGCCGAACAGCGCGCGGTGAAATTGTTGTAAGCGCATCGGAGAGATGTCGGTGCCGTCTCACGCGAGACGAGGAATCCGCGTGGACCGTTCCGCGACGCCTGCTCACGTTCACTTCTACCGGAATGGTCTCTGCTAGAGGAGCCCCTCTCGAGGGTATTTTGTAGCCTACTGCTCCGCCCCAAGAGGGCCGTCATGTACGCCTGTTGTTTGCGCGCCCGCGTAGAGAGAAGCGGAAGTTGGAGGCGTGCGGGATGGACCAAGCGAAGCGGCCGAGGATGGAGTCAGCGGAGAGTTCCCCGGCCGCGAACGGCGTCGCCTCTTCCCGTGCGGCCGCCGCGTCCTCCTTCACCGTCGACGACGGCGATGACGACGATGACGACGACGTGATTTGTCTCGACGTGAAGAGCCCGCAGGTGCCGCGGATCGACGCGGATCTGAGAAAGGTGGGGGGCCCCGCGTGCGTGTGCGTGTGTGCGTGCGCCTGCGTTGCGTGCTCTGCTTGGTCCGTACCGCCGCCTCCGAACTGCCGTTCTGTCGTCTTAGATTCGGTCGTGTGCCTGAAGAGCATGAGTGCGCAAAAGCCCAGCGCTCGAGGGACAAAGGTTCGCAGGTGTGGTACTGGTTACGCCCCACCCCCTTGTGTGCCACGCTGGCCTGAATAGGTGCTCGCTAACGGCTTCTGGCATGATGCCGTCTGAACGGTTATACGGGGAGACCCGTGCCTGGCAGCGCACGCCTGTAACGCGGCACTGTGGAGGCGACGGTTGGTGGATCGCGCAGATGTCGTGAAACTCCCGAACCCGCTGAGCTGCGGGGTTGCAGTCTCGTGGCTCGCCAGGGCATGCCGATGGCAGTGCAGCAAGTGGATTAATTAATATTTCTTTCTTCTGTACGGGTGTTGTGCATTGCACCTACCCTGGCACGTGCGGGTTTTCTCCCAAGTATCCCGGTCTCCTCCCGCAGGTGTAAACACACTCATCCATGGACTTGTCCAAACATCCCGATATAGGTCCACAGGGCTTAGGCAGACGATGGCGCCAGTTTCGGCTGCCTGGATCTCGGCAAAACGCATACGGCGCGTTGCAAGCGTATTTGTATTGTTGATTTGCGCGCGCGTCCAGGTGAAGCTGGAGGCGGACGCGTCGACCGGGCCGGACAACGAGGCCGCCCAGGCCCGCGACGCTGCGGCCACGTCTTCCCACGGCGTGCAGACCGTCACGCTGCCCTTCAAGTGCAAGGCCGAGGAGGAGGACAGCGGCGACGCGGGCGACGCGGGCGACTCCGCCGCGGGCGCAGGTGGGGCCCGACAAAACAGGGACCGGGCGGGCGGAGGGACGGGGAGCCGAGCGGCGTGCGGAGATTAAAATCGCTTCTTGCACGAGTGATGGACGCATCGAATGTCACGCCCGCACGCGCTCGCTCGGGAGCCTCGACCGCGTTGTACGTCGAGGCCCGCGTTCGGAGTCGGGGCCTTGCTCAGGCTCGGCTCAAAAGTCACGCTCACCACGAGCCAGCCCCCGAGTCACACGCGGTGTGGTGTACGGTGTGGTTATTCTCACCTCGTTCAAGACGTCTGGCAGAGTAGGTCAAAATACCTTCACTGGAGGAGCTCTCTAGAGCACTCCCGAGTGGAGCTCTTCTGCCTGCGGTGGCATGAGCAAGAAATTGCAGGTCTCCACCTTTACCTTTCATTGATCAGCAAATCCACGCATCGTTCCTCCCGCGAGTAGAGAGGGCCCTGCAGGCAATCGGACGTCAATGCGTCGGTGTGTGCGTGTAACAGTAGTGTAGCGGTCAGCGCTCTGCGCTATGAACCTGGCGACCCGAGTTTGGTTTCCGCTCGCACCAGTGACGGTTATCTCAAACCGGTTCTGGGCCTCCCCTAGGTCAATTCGGCCTTAAAATGTGTAAACATCTCCACTGGGGAGACGAATGCGACCGGGCGTGGTGCTGGCCACCCTCCCCCTCGTGTGCCTTCCTGTCACACGAGTCCAAATTCGCCGCTAACGGTACTTGCCCCAACAGTCTGTTAAGGCTATATGTGTGGGGGATCATCTTTGTCTTTGTATTGTGGATGACGACCACCGCAGCGGGCGCCGTCCCTCGTGCCTCCAGCGCCGTGGACGCCGCCGTGGACACCCTGCGCCGGGAGAACAAGCGCCTGCAGGAGGTGGTGCAGCAGCTGCAGCAGGAGCTGGTGACCCGCACGGTGGTGAAGGAGGAGGACAAGAAGCAGACGGAGGAGAAGGCGGAACTTGTGGCGAAGGTGGGTTACCCCTCGCAGCCGGGGCCTCGTGACTGCCGATTGGACAAACGAGCTACGATCTGCACGCGCGCAACACTACCACGAGTTTGTAGGAGGAGGCAGTTCCATGGTTTTGGACTTACGTTGTGGACGCTTTGACTGTATGGTTAACCTGACACTGCTGAGAATCCTGGGTTGAAATCCGGGTTCATGCATTGATATCCGCAGACTCTTAGAGTCGCACAGAGATCCGCGGACTCGCACGGAGACCCGCAGACTCGCACAGAGACCCGTAGACTCGCACAAAGATTTACACAGTTACATATAGACCCACAGACTCACACAGCGACCCGCAGACTCGCACAGAGACCCATAGGCTCGCACAAAGACCCGCACAGTCACACGGAGACCCACAGACTCGCATAGAAACACACGGACACTTCTAGAAACTGAGAGGCTCCCGTCTTCGCCCGTCGGTATGCCACTGGCGCCGCTCCGCAGGTGGACAAGGCAGTGGGCGACAGTGAGGCGGCGCCGGACGAGGTGCACGCGCTGCGCCAGGAACTGGAGAAGCTCAAGAAAGATGAGGAGGAGTGGGCGTCTGTGATCAGCCACCTGATGAAGGAGATCGAGGATAGTGTGGCGGGGCACAAGCAGGTGATCCCGGAGAGACCGGTGCCCATCTTGGCACGACACACTTGTGCGTCGCAACAAGACGGGGGTCCTGGGTCGGATTCCCGACTCGGGAGCCTTGCCGCGTGGAGTTTGTATTCTTCGATTCCCCCTCGCGGCCGACACCAGTGGCGATTATCTGAACGGGTCCGGGGCGTCCCCGAGGTTGACTCGGCCTCAAATGAGTATCTGGGGCGGTGCGTAAAAAATATCGCCGCTGGGGAGATAAAGGCGGCCGGGCGCGGTGCTGGCCAACCACCTCCATCGGTGCTCGCGAACAGCACTTGCCTTGACAGTCTGTTAAAGGCTATACTGGGGAATCTTTGTCTTTTGTGTGTGCGGGTGGCGTTCGTATGTTCTCACTGTGTCCTGTTTGTGTTTCCTCCGTGTTCTGTAGTTTCTTCGCCTAGCTCAAACACACCCACATACATACACACAATGTATCTGGCATTGGCCAAAAACATCCCTAACACTAAATGCGTGAACGCCTTAGTTGGAGGCGTCAATAAACTCCACTTCGCCACTCTTGAGCGTGTTGTGCCCGCGCGCCGTGTGCCACCGCAGACGACCGCCGAGAACGAGCGGCTGAGCGAGGAGTGCGCCCGGCTGCGCGCGGCCGCCCCCGGCCAGACTCCGGTCAAAACAGAGGCCGGCACCAACACGGACGGCGCCACGGACGTCGCCGGAGCCGCCGCGGACGCCGGCGTGGACGCCGGCGTGGACGCCTGCGTTGGCCCCGACGCGGACACGGTAGTTGGGGGGTGGGGGGGTGGGGACAGCGCTCCGGTCGGCAGTTCAGAAACGTACGCGTCCCACTCTGCAGTGCGTCACGCCGGGCCCTGTCGACAGAGTTGTGGGGGGGCCGTGGTGCTTTAGTGTCGGCTGGGGGGCCGCCGCCCCTTCTCATAGCGACTTGGCCACCCCCCCCCCCACGCCCAGGCTGTAGGCACAGCGGCCAAGTTGCCAGGAGATTCCCCACGGGTAGGGATGGTAGTTTCGCGAATGGCACGCGTGATTCACCAACCCTACCGCTGCCGTGGGGTCCATGCTCTGTGCCGCACGGCGCACCACCCCGCACCCCCCGCCGCTTGGCCAGCCTGCGCACCGCGTCGGGCGGTCGGTCTCACGCCCCCCGCCCGCTGTCGTTTGCCGCCCCCCCCCAAGGCGAGCGAGACGACGGAGGAAGGGAGGAAGCTCCAGGCGGAGCTGGAGAAGACTGGAGCCGAGCTGGAGCAGCTGCAGAGGGAGAAGGTGGAGCTGGAGGCCCGGGAAACAGAGACAGCCATTTACCTGTCTCAGGGAATGTAAGCTGTGTGTGTGTGTGCGCGCCAGGGAGTGTGTTAGAGCGAGTGTGTGTGTGTCTTTGTCTTGAGCGGTTAACGGTAGTATAGCGGTTAGCGCGCTACACTACTAACCTGGCGACCCGGGTTCAATTCCCGCTCACGGCCATCACCAGTGGCGATTATATGAACCGGTCTTGCGCCTCCTCGAGGTCGACTCAGCCTCAAATTATTACCGTACCTGTTGGGGTAAAATCGCCACTGGGGAGACAAAGGCGGCCGGGTGTGTTGCTGGCCACCCACCCCCTAGTGTGCCGTGCCGGCCTTCATATGTGCTCGTTAACCGGAGTCTTTACCTTGTCAAAAAATATTAAAATAAATGCTCAATACAAAGGCTACATGGATTATAATTTTTGCTTTTGTGCATACGAATGGTGAATAGTTGATGGCTAATCATTGGTGTTGATGATGGTGGCGGCTTGGGGGAGTGGGGGGGGGGAGGCCTTTCACCCAGCAGTGGATAGATCATGGCCAGCGGCGACGATGATGATGACGATGACGACGACAATGATGACGACAATGATGACGACGATGATGACGACAATGATGACGACGACGACGACGATGACGATGATGATGATGACGACGACGACGACGACGACGATGATGACAATGATGATGACGACGATGATGATGACGACGATGACGATGACGACGATGACGATGATGACGACGATGACGATGACGACGATGACGATGATGATGATGACGACGACGACGACGATGACGACGATGATGATGACGCGTGCCCCTCGCCCGTGCGTCGAGGCGCAGGTCCGACAGAGACAGCCTCGTGAGGCTGCGGCAGAACGTGGCGCGGCTCCTGCAGAACCTCATCCCGGAATTCCAGATGCCGGACGACCCGACGCTCGTCGACGACATCGTCCCACAGCTGCTCAAGTCCACATCGTCCTGAAACGCGGGAGGGCGGCTCCTCGCACGGCCGTGGTGGACTTCTGCAACCCTATTTTAAAAAAATATAAATAAATAGCGATTGGGTTTTTTTTTTTCCCTCGCAGGTCTTGTGCTGTGCTAAGCCTGACGCGGCAAAACTGTGGCACACGCTGGCCTCGCAAGAACTCTCTGATGTGGCTCGTGGGAGCGGGGAGGGGCCAAGCGGGGCCAGGGGGGGCACTGACGGACGCGCGTGTCTCGACTCGTCCCGTTGAGGGCGGCAGAAACGGCATCGGCATCGGCTCTGCTGCGTCTGCAATGGAAAACAGCCCTCGGCGTGGCTCTGCTGTTACAGCGGGCGTCGTGCAAACCGCGGGGCGGGGCCTGGCCTGTGGGTCTCGTTGCCCAGGGACAAAAGATCTTTGGGCAGATGGAAACGTCCGGACAATATGTTGGCAGGGGACGTACGGACGTGGACCACGGGATTGATTCGAGCGGAACGTTTCTTCACTATGGTGGCCGCCCCCAACTGTTTGTTAACACGTCGTCGTCGCCATCGTCGCCATCGTCGCCATCGTCGCCATCGTCGCCATCGTAGCCATCGTAGCCATCGTAGCCATCGTAGCCATCGTCGCCATCGTCGCCATCGTCGCCATCGTAGCCATCGTAGCCATCGTAGCCGTCGTAGCCGTCGTAGCCGTCGTAGCCGTCGTCGCCATCGTCGCCATCGTCGCCATCGTCGCCATCGTAGCCGTCGTAGCCGTCGTAGCCGTCGTCGCCATCGTCGCCATCGTAGCCATCGTAGCCATCGTAGCCATCGTCCGCACAGCAGAGGAGGGTGGACGGACGCGCCTTCTCTTGCCACCCTCTCCACTGACTAATTGCCCCCCCCCCCCCCCCCCCCCACTTTTCCACCAAATGGCAGCCTCTGTACGTGCACACAGCATTGTACCCAAATTGATTTACCTAACGCCGCCGCTCCCCCCCCCCCCCCCCATCCTGGCTTAGGATTGTGTTGTCCCCAGGGATTAATGTTGGCTGCAATCCTACGCAGCACCGCATCCAGTGTACATCTTCTCTATCAACTGTGTGGGGACTATTTTTATTTGTGTCACCTGCTTCAGTCTACACCAGCAGCTTAGATCAGCTCCCTCCTCCCCCACCAAACATTTGGTCATCCGAAATGTCATGGGGTACAGAAGTGCATGTGTCACGGCATTCCTTTTTGAGTCGGCGGATCTTGTAAATGTTTTAGGTGACGATAAAAATAATAATATTAGAATTGCAATTCACGGTTGACCTTTGGGTCAAATCGCGCGCGAGTGCAATGCCCGGTGTGTGTCGTACGTGCCCTCCTCCACCTGACACGGCCAAATGAAGCAAAGTTATCGTGGCCACACATTTGTAGAGAAGTTACTCGGAGACGGAGGTAAGTTAGGAGCTTTCGCCAGGGTTTATTAAGGGTGAACAATATTACACAGCAGGGTACACAACTCCCAGGGGCTAGGGGTCCTACTCTGAGTACGGGTCCCTGCCGGCTAGCTCCGGTCTCTCTCTCTCGTGTCGGATCGTGGAGTCTGCCGACTCCACCGACCGGAGAGAGAAGCACCTCTACAGCTACCACCGGCTTCTCCCCAGACTCCCTATTCGATCCCTCTCTCTACCCCTGGTTCCCTCTTCACCCTGCTTACTCTACCCGTTCCCACAGTGACCCCGCTTACGTCACGGGGTATCCCTTAAGTACCCTAGGAGACGTGACGTCATCGCACTGAACGGCACACCTGACGTCACGTCCCCATTTTACTCCTCTACACATTGTTACCGCATGGGCAGTGACACCGGGTCGCTGGAGAGCGATCCGCTCGCGTTCACTAATTGCGCGCGGACGTTTGACTGGCCGTCGCCACTGCCATCGTTATCGTCATTGGCCGGCTTTCAGGATTGTGAAAATATCCTCCAGTCTTCTTGGGGCCTTAAATAGGTGGTGTAATGTCATCAACACGGCCCCCATGAGGTTAATGTCGGCGCACAAATTTATAATGTGTTCTGTCGGCGGAGCTTTTACATATCTGGCTGCGTCGGGTGAAGGAGGGCACGCAACACACACGGGCATTGAGCTCACACTATGGCGATCTGACCCAGAACTCTACAGGGAGTAATAACAATTGCCACGAAAGCGACTCGTGTTAAACGCGAGTAATGTAATGTTACATTTTAAGGTTGGCGCAAACACGCTTATTGAACCGTATTGTTTCCATACCCGGGTACGCGCGCGCTGTGCTTGTTTGGTATGTTGCACGGCCTTTGTGTTGGCGGTGACCGACGAGGATGGCCCCGACCTCGGTGCGACCTCGGTGCGACCTCGGTGCGGCCACGGGCACGCCGGGACGTCCTCGACGGGAGTTCCACGTTTTTTACGTTCCGCCTGACCGCACGGGCTTTCGTAGAGCGCGTTTTGCATTTGCTGATGTTTTTCCCCAATTACTTAGTCGGGGAGGTCCAGGTCGCCGTGATGCCGCCGGGTTGCGTCCCCGTGTCGGCAAGCGCCCGAAGTTGCCTCCGCGGCTCGGCACGGCGCGTCCGCTGTACCTCTCGCCATGGCCGCGACCGTTCGCGCGCCAGCTCCGCTCCCCTCTTCCCGTCGTGGCACCGTTCCGCGGAGGGAGCGAGGGAGCGAGCGAGCGCAGTTGTCGGACGCAGCTCCACGGTCCTCCGTGGGGAGCTGCTCGCCCCGAAGGGGAAGGGGGCCACTCGCTGAGACGTCCTGCGCCTGCGGCTCGCAGCCACGGCAGTGTTCGACGCACAACGAAAGTCGCCATCACCTCGACCCCCTCCACCCCGGCCACGTGATGCTCCTGTTTCACACGATTTTCACCCCGTTTTAACATTACTATGGCAATGTTGACCTGTTTAAAGAAAAGTGATTTTTATATTTATATAACCGCAGTTTCATACGCAGGTTTAACAAATAAATGTTACCCCTTATGCCAATACCAGGATATAATTTCCTTACAAACCTCGATTACGAACTGCCACTCGCTCGATAACAATTCCCGTCATCACCGACGCCACTCATTATATTATCGGTCCCACAACACGAAAGCGAGCCCTTGCTACGGCCCGAACAGCTCTCCAACTGCGCTTCGACTCCACGTCAACGGCTGTGCGAGGTCGAACCACGGCGCGCTTTTATTTTGTGTGCGCGTGGCGCCCGCGATTCAGCGATGGGAGTCGTCGCGCACCCAAGGCGCCTCGCGATCTTGATGCGCTCCGAGCCACGGCGGTGGAGGGCTCGAGGTCGTCCCCACGCATGGCCCCTGAGCACTCCCCTCTCCGTCGTGTCTCTACGGTGGTCCGTACCGTGACCGCGGTGTTTGTACGGGGGGGGTGGGAGGGGGTCGTCTCTCCGACCAAGCACACCACAGAGTCCACGACCAACTTTCCTTAACCACTCCCACCTCTGCTCTTTGCTGTCACGATACCTACACCACTTTTAATAACCCCCACCCCACCCACACTCTTTATTTTAACCAGTACCATCTAATGTACAATGTTGTCATTAATGTAAATAACTGTGGACTCGGGTGCTACATACAGCTATAGAAGATAGGATAAGTGGAACACTGTCGAGCCGTGCCAGATTATCCGAGTAGCACAAGTAGCTGCACGTGCTACGGGCCACGCACTTTCAAGGGCCCCGCGCTAAATGTGTTCAAGCTGTCAATTCTTTTGTCAAGGCTCTCTCCTCCTCTAACCCAGCTTAAATATACGCTGCCAAGCTTGGTGGTGTTCATTCAGACGCTGTTTCTCCGACAGCCCTGTTCTTCACCTGAAGACGGCTGCTTGCGTTGTGGCCGAAACGTCGTGAGAATTGTATTTTATTTTTATTATTTCCCTTCTACGTGACTTTACCGAAAGAACCAAGAAGACTATCAATTCCGGTTCAGTGATTCTGCATTTGCTCTACTACTATAGTACTAGACTGCCTTCAACTTTGATCAACGACTGGGTGTTTCAGGTTAGCGATTTGTCATATTATCTGGCTGTATAGCAAATGAAAAAATACAATTACTTTACTATGCAAGTACTTTTTTTTTATTTAGGGCCCCTTTATAACATGTTACAGGCCCCGCACTAGCTTACTCAGGAACTGTTGTCGAGTTGACGGTGCCTGACTTGGCGCCCAGTAGCCCCCTCCCCCCTCGCCTCATCCCCCACCCTGTGGCGGGCGAGGCAGGCGAGGGGGTTGAGTGAAACGCTTGTGAATTGCGGTGAAATCCCCGGGTGGGGGGAGGGTTTCTAGACCCACCTCTGTGGTGAAAGAGGCAGAGGTGGGACAAAGTCATTGTTATGCAAGTCCAAGTCGAGTCTGAAGTCATCAAATTCATGACTCGAGTCTGACTCGAGTTCAAGTCACATGACTCGAGTCCACACCTCAGAGGTGGGACAAAGTCATTGTTATGCAAGTCCAAGTCGAGTCTGAAGTCATCAAATTCATGACTCGAGTCTGACTCGAGTTCAAGTCACATGACTCGAGTCCACACCTCAGAGGTGGGACAAAGTCATTGTTATGCAAGTCCAAGTCGAGTCTGAAGTCATCAAATTCATGACTCGAGTCTGACTCGAGTTCAAGTCACATGACTCGAGTCCACACCTCAGAGGTGGGACAAAGTCATTGTTATGCAAGTCCAAGTCGAGTCTGAAGTCATCAAATTCATGACTCGAGTCTGACTCGAGTCCAAGTCACATGACTCGAGTCCACACCTCTGGAAAGAGGATCTTCAGCAGCCTCTGGGGGACGATTGTGTTCCTGTACCAGGGCCAGTGTGCTTATGGACTCGTGCCGATTCGGCATCCCGAGGCTGTGGAACCGATTGAAGCTCTGTGCGGACAGCAGACAGCCTGAGCGATGGGACTTGACGTGAACCAAGCTGGTCTCTGAGCTGGACTCAGGGTCGCTGCCTTCGGGCGAGTGAGAATTGTGCCCGTTACAAATGAGCATTTTTATGACTCGCCTCTATCCACTGCTGGATAAAGTTCACCCGCTGAGCCGCCACCATCTACCGTGATCCCGCGACGATCCGTGGAGCCCTTGTGCACGCGAGCCGATCATAACAACGGAGACCGGACATCAATTACAGGAGGCTGGATATATAAGAATGTTTGTTTATTCGCTTAAACATAACTTAAAACACTGGGGCCTTTGTATCCAGAGAAGTGATGCGTTCAAACTTTGGCCCCGGGCTTGGTGAAGGGTAGGTATTTGTCCTTTTAAAACATGGAAATACTCGCTCACGTAAATTTGCATAGAACTGTGGATGCACTTCCCGTCGAAGTCAAGGAAAAATCCACGGCTGTCAGAAATCAGCTTAAGGCAAACGTGTTAGAAATCTGCGCAAGTGAGGCGGGCGAACAGAGCCCTTGTATGTCATTGCCCAGGGTATGTGAGCTTCAGGTGGTGTCTGTGTGTGTTGTATAGGTGTATCTGCAGGGCAGGTGTCTGTACAGGCAGGTGTTTAGGCGTGTGCTGTGGTGTTCCAAACGAGCGATTTTTGGATTCAAGTTCTGCGCTGTGCGCGGCTCAAGAAGTACATTTTAGGCGTGGCTTCAGATTCGGCCCCCCAAGTTCAGCTCCGAATGCAGTCGGTTGCCTGACTGCACGTGCAGCAACGTGTCCAGAAATCTATTCACAGCTTTGGAAGACAAATCCAGATCTGGCTCCGGGCTTTGCTCATGTGGGAAATCCATTTCCGGTCCTTCACGTGTGGCTCCAGAGAAATGCTTCAGCAAGGCTCCTCGACCTGGCTCCAGGAAAGTTGTCTGGCTCCAGGAACGGTGTCTTGGTTCCGGGTATCTGGCTCCAGGTACGTCCGACAAGCGACCTCAGTTTCTGGGCGCGGAGGAGCAGAGGTCGGCGATGGCGCCAACGGCGATGAGTCTCCGCAGGAGGCGCTGTTCACTGCGGATGCTGTGGGAGCCTGCCTGCTGCTCGCACGGACGAAGACAACGACCCACCCCCATACAGCCATGTCAGACTGGAGGAGCAAGTGCTGTTTGCGATTCACACCGATGAAGGCCGGCACAGCCCCAGGTGCTAGTGGCCAGGGTCACGCCCCCAGCCACCTTTTTCGCCGTCGTGGTGATGTCTAAACACTGCACCAGGTGCTCATTGGAGGCCGAGTTGACAGGCACGGCTGGGGGTGGGAGGGGTAGTAGTGGTAAGAAGGGATAGGGGGTAGTAGAGGTAGGATGAGGAGTACTCACTGCCAGCAGATACGCCATGGTATCGTTGCTGTAGTAGTGCACGGGCTGCTGCAGGGCACTCATGTTGTAGCCGAAGCCGGCGATGGAGACCTCATCGCAGAAGTGCATCGCCAAGCCCAGCGCCATGAGCCCCATGGTCGGGACCTGGCAGTGCTGGCTCGCGGACGCAGAGGAAAGTCGTCGTTGGTGGCGGTGAATGATGAATTAACGGACGGATGAACACACGTGAATTGACCGATAAAGGAAGGAGTGAGCAAAGCAATGGGACAGATGAACACGTGACTCAATGGCCCAACAGATGGACGAACGAGCGAGTTCAGAGACTTCAAACGTGAACCTTTCGAACGGATGGGGGACGGACGACGAGCATGCACAGTGGCCGCACCTTCACTTGCTTCTTCTTGGCGAACTTGAGGAGGTCGAAGGCCACCGAGCGGATGATGTCCGGCCGCAGGATGCGGATGCGCTCGGGGCTGTAGCTCAGCCGCGTCGCCACCCTCCTCCAGAACACGTGGACGCGCTGCTTCTGCGCGCGACCACGGCGAGCACGGCATCAGCGCGGCCTCTCTCACCGCCGCACGAGGATCCCACATTCGCCGCCCTCCTACACACGTCTCGAGCGTCCCAACCGTCCACCCCTATACCCCCCCCACCCACGCCACGGTCCCCCTACGCACCTTGTCCCGCGTCCCCGTCCGCAGCCACATGAACCCCGGCCGCCGGCTGTCGCTCGCGGCCACCGCGGCAGAGGAGATGTTCTCGACGTAGCCGAGTTGCCACAGCAGGTAGGGCAGCTCGTTCGAGGCGGCCTCCTCTGCGAAGCCCTCCACCGCGTCGCGCAGCCACAGCAGGTCCTGCACCTTGTAGGGCACGAAGACGGCGAGGGTGGAGCGGGCGTCGTGGCCCCACAGCGCCCGCTCCAGCCCCGAGGACTCCGGGTAGAAGAGACGCAGCGACGTCCTGGAGCCCACGTCCTGCTCGTAGCCGGTCACGGGAGCTTCGTTCATTCTGGGGAGGCGGGGGGCGGGCGCATGGGTGTGGGAAGTCGCAGCACGATCAAAGCTGCAATAGAATATGAGAGTAATGCGGTTCGTGAATTGAGTGAGGCCACTCGTGACAGCTTGGGGTGGGAAAGAGGCGTTGGGAGCGAGTTCTAAAGTGTCGTGTTGATGTGCTGTGCGGCGGCGGTGGTGATGAGATGAAGCGATCTGTCGCAGTTCTCAAGAAGGGTGGAGGAATCTGCGGAGGTTTGCAGTCGCGACCCGATGGGGCGCCCTGGTTAATACTTTGTGCTCTTGCCTACCGAATGATGATGTCATGCTTGTCGATCTCCTTGCCCAGGGAGCTGTTGCTCAGCACGAATCCGTTACCCACAACCACGCATCTCTTGCATGCATGCCTAAACGGACACACGCACACAAAGACAAAGAGCCCCTGTATAGCCTTTAACAGACTCGGGGCAAGTGCTGTTGGCGAGCACCTGTGAAGATTGGCACGGCACACCACGGAGTGGCGTGGCCAGGACCGTGCCTGGCCGCCTTTGTCTCCGCAGTGCTGACTTTCACGCATCTCACCGCGTACTCATTTTAAGGCTGAGTCGACCCTCAGGCGAGGACCCGGGACCGTTTCGGATAATCGTCACTGGGTGTTGGCCGTAAAGCGAAAATTTAACTCGGGTCGCCGGGTTCGTAGCTCAACGCTTTGAACCACCACACGATCGCTCCCCACCGGTTGTGTGTGTGTACACACAAACGCATACAAAGACCACATGCAAGGGGGTGGGTGGATGAGGGTAAGGCTAGGGGGGGTGGAAATGCGGTGTCACCTTGATAGTTCCCAGGGCACCGTTGAGTCCGGCACGGCTCTTAACAACGCCTGGTATTGCCTCTCTGCACACGTGGAGGAGGGGAGGGGGGAGAGGGGGGTATCGTGGGGGGGGGGGTGGGGGTTGGGTAGATGAAGGCCGTGAAATTAAACACGAACCTGCACTCAAGCCGATCTTGGCCCAACTCGATACGCTGGATCCTCGTAACTCAACACCACGACCCATGTTTGCTTTGGGTGTAGAGGCCACCGTGGTATTTGAGGACAACAATTCTGATGAGCTATTCACGAGGACCCGTGTCTAAGAGGGTGGGGGGCCCCTCGCCTAGAAGCGTCCGACAGTTCAAGTCCCCCGGCGCGCCCCGTGTACGGTGGGGTTAAAAGCGCGGGTTCGTCCCGCGCATTGCCTTGTCCCAAGACGTTACTTGGCTGGCGTGGGAGAAAAGTCGCCACAGGGGCAGAGTGGGGGGGGGGCACGTGGGCAGAGTAGGGGGGGGGGCGCACACGACCTGTGCCCTCGGAGAAGTACGGCAGGCGGTCCACGGTGCGCAGGGGCGGCAGCAGCGGGATGATGCCCCAGAGCGTCCGCGCCACGTCGCCCCACGTGACGAAGGGGTTGTGCATCCTCCGCACCGCGCTGCGTGGCGACACACGCGGAGCACCGGCGGACGCTGGGGGCGCGGTGTGCTAGCGTGGTGCCGTATGTCTGTGGTGTGGGACGGCGTGGTGGCGGTGTGGTGTGTGGTGCCGTGTGTCTGTGGTGTGGGACGGCGTGGTGGCGGTGTGGTGTGTGGTAGTGGTGTGGTGCCGTGTGTGGTGTGGGACGGCGTGGTGGCGGTGTGGTGTGTGGTAGTGGTGTGGTGCCGTGTGTCTGTGGTGTGGGACGGCGTGGTGGCGGTGTGGTGTGTGGTAGTGGTGTGGTGCCGTGTGTGGTGTGGGACGGCGTGGTGGCGGTGTGGTGTGTGGTAGTGGACGTGGTGCCGTGTGGTGTGGCGAGCACTCACGAGAATTTATTTTCGTGAAGAACGCTTCGTATGTAGCCGCCTGAGCAGAGCTGGTGACGGCCCAACACCCTGCAGAGACAGACAGACACAGCCACTCAGACACAACAACAATCGCCATTCACCACTAAGTGGCAGTGACGTCACCACGACGCTTGTGCCAGGCTATGTGCACGTTGAGGCCACGTGAAGTGTCGGATGCCCACTGGCAGGTCACGGGGCAGACCCAGGTGCCACGGGTCGACTGACTGAGATGACCGAGATAACTGGCTGATGCACCACCTGTGCCCCCTACTGTGCCAACTTGCTGTGCTTTAGCCACCCGGCGCTCCACTCGTTGTTGTGAGCGTCGCTCCTCCGCCCTCCGTTGTTGCTGGAGGGCGACTGCCTCCAACTGCCCAGTAGTGTCCTTCACGAGCCTCCTCCACTGAGGCCGATCTTGACACCGCTGGTACCAGTCATCGGCAAGTCCACTCAGCTCCACATCCCCCTTGACCACATCACTCCATCTCCTCTATAGCCCGTGCCGTGCCCGCCTAGCCCCCCTGATCCAGCCGAACAAAAGCTGTTTAGGCATGCGGTGGCTGGGCATGAGGGCCACATGACCCAGCCAACGCAGCCTTGCCCACCGGAGGAGCTCACCGATGGGACCCTGCCCAGATCTTTCAAGGATATGTGAGCTGCTCACACAATCCAGCCTGATTAAACCCAGGATTGACCGCAGGCAGGACAGTTCAAATGCTTCCAACCGGCGAAGATGTTCCACTAAGGGGGTCCACATTTTGCAAGTGCAGAGAAGGTAGGGAATGACTGTAGCCGAGAAGATCTGAAGCTTCGTGTGGAGCAATAGATCAGGTAGCTTCCACACAGCGTTACGCAACCTATGAAAAGATAATGCCGCTCGACTGATTCGGAGTGAGACCTCTGCTATCAAACCTGGAGCCAGCCATGAGCACACTGCCCAGGTATGGGAAACTCTCCACTCTCTCCACAACTGCCCTATCACCAATTGGGAGTTGTGGGGGTGGAATGTCCGATAGTACAAAAAACCCAGGCAGGTGCTTAATTTTGGAGGGGCTGATGGTAAGTTCCCACCTCTTAGTGGCAAGCTCCAGGTTCAGCAGCAGCGCCTCCAACTCCTCCTCTGAGTAAGCAGCAATTACAAGATCATCGGCATACATAACATGGTTGGGCAATAGGGAGCCATCCCTTGACCGCACCCGGGCATTGATCAGCCTCCCATTGTATCTGTACCAGATGGAAATTCCTCTGGCACAGCTACTGAAGGCTTCACGACCCACGTGGTCGAAATAGATGTAAAATAATGTGCGAGCCAGAGGACATCCCTGTCGCACCCCAAAGTGAATAGGGAATGGCTCCAACTCCCAGCCACGTAGTTTTACCCGGGCCCACTTACCATCATGAAAGTCTTAATGACCGTGAGTAGCGGGTCAGGGACTCCGAAAGCACGAAGAAAAACTCAGAGCCCAGGCCTACTAATGGTATAATAGGCCTTCACCAGGTCAATAAAGCAGAGATGTAGGTCTTGTTGGAATTCCCTCTGCTGTAGCAGACGGACAGAAAATATGGCATCCTGTGCAGAACCGGAGGGGTTACCAGCCCCTCGCACTCATCCAGAGCCCCCATTTGGCCGTTGTGGTGGTTACAAACGCCATGAAGGGAAAGGCCAATCTAACTTGGCCCTCCCCCCACGGCACTGCCCACCACAGCATTGCCGTCCGGCACCACGAGGTAGGGGGTTGTTTTTTCCGGACTCAGACACACACCCAGACAGACACAGCCAATCAGACAGACACGGCCACTCGCACAGATGCACAAAGATAAGACAAAGATCCCCCGTATAGCCTTAACAGACTGTAGGGGCAAGTGCTGTTAGCGAGCACCTATGAAGGCCAGCACGGCACACGAGGGGGTGGGTGGCCAGCACCACGCCCGACCGCCTGTCTCCCTAGTGGTGGTGTTTACACACCTCACTAGGTACTCATTTGAGGCCGAGTCGACCTAGGGGAGGCCCAGGACCGGTTCAGATAATCGTCACTGGTGTTGGCCGTGAGCGGGAATCGAACTCGGGTCGCCGGGTTCATAGCGCAGCGCGCTAACCGCTACACTACCGCTCCGCACAGATGCACACACACTCAGACACAGCCACTCAGGAAAACGGATAGAGACAGACGCAGACACACAGTCATTCAGACAAACATACAGAGATACTCAGAGACAGAGACAGACAGAGACAAACTGATACAGACCTCAGACAGACAGTGAAGGAGAAGGGCTCAGGAGAGGGGCTTAGGGAGCTCTCCCCCCCTCCCCAACTTGGTCACTTGGCAGCGGGGGACACGGGGGAGCGCTGTGGTTAGTGCCAGGGATTATAGCCAGGGCTAAGACTAATGCTAGGTTAGGGCTGTAGTTAGGGCCAGGGCTAAGGGTAATGCTAGGTTAGGGCTGTGGATAGGGCCAGGGCTAAGGGTAATGCGAGGTTAGGGCTGTGGATAGTGCCAGGGATTATAGCCAGGGTTAAGGGTAGTGCTAGGTTAGGGCTGTAGTTAGTGCCAGGGATTATAGCCAGGGTTAAGGGTAATGCTAGGTTAGGGCTGTAGTTAGGGCCAGGGCTAAGAGTAATGCGAGGTTAGGGCTGTAGTTAGGGCCAGGGCTAAGACTAATGCTAGGTTAGGGCTGTAGTTAGGGCCAGGGCTAAGAGTAATGCGAGGTTAGGGCTGTAGTTAGGGCCAGGGCTAAGGGTAATGCTAGGTTAGGGCTGTGGATAGGGCCAGGGCTAAGGGTAATGCGAGGTTAGGGCTGTGGATAGTGCCAGGGATTATAGCCAGGGTTAAGGGTAGTGCTAGGTTAGGGCTGTAGTTAGTGCCAGGGATTATAGCCAGGGTTAAGGGTAATGCTAGGTTAGGGCTGTAGTTAGGGCCAGGGCTAAGGGTAATGCTAGGTTAGGGCTGTAGTTAGGGCCAGGGTTAAGAGTAATGCTAGGTTAGGGCTGTAGTTAGGGCCAGGGTTAAGAGTAATGCTAGGTTAGGGCTGTGGTTAGTGCCAGAGATTATAGCCAGGGCTAAGGGTAATGCTAGGTTAGGGCTGTGGTTAGTGCCAGGGATTATAGCTATGGTTAAGGGTAATGTTAGGTTAGGGCTGTAGTTAGGGCCAGGCCTAAGAGTAATGCTAGGTTATGGCTGTGGTTAGTGCCAGGGACTATAGCCAGGGCTAAGGGTAATGTTAGGTTAGGGCTGTGCATAGGGTCAGGGCAAGTACTAAAGTTACTGACAGAGTCCGGGTTTGTCGAGGGCGTTCGGTGTGCCGAGGCGCTCGCGCGTGACGGGCAAGGCTCTCAGCCGCGCCTGTCGCCTCTAAACTCCCGAGACGACAACCACGGGGACGGGGCAGTGTGCGGCACAGGCTGCACGCAGACCGAGCTGGCCTCTGACCCCCAATGATGCCGATGACCCCACGCGGAAGCAGCGGCGATCGCAGCAGCAGCGGCGGTACACGGCAGGGGGACAATGCTGGCATGGTAGGTGACTGTGCAGAGAGAATGCGGTGTCGCCAGTTCGACAGAGACTCTCGCCCCCCCCGCCCGTCCCCTTATAGAGACTGTGAGGGTTGTGAGTGGTCAAGTACCGGGGAACCTGGAGGGAAACGCGCGCTGACTCACCAGTCGAGTTGCGAGCCATAACCTGCGAACACAAGACACACAAGGGAATTGTGTAAGCGTTGTGTATTTATTTCGTGAAACCGGCGCGGCGCAGGATGTGGGCGCACGGCGGTGTGGTTTAGGCGCTACGCTCGGCCGCCTTTGTCTCCCTCGGTGCTGATGTTTACATGCCGCCCCAAGTAGTCATTTAAGGCTACATCGACCTAGGGGTAGCTCTGGATCGATTCAGGTAATCGTCACCGGTGCTCGTGACCGTGAGCGTCAATCGAAACATCGGAACGCTGGGTTCGTAGCGCAGCGCCGCTAACCGCTGCGCCACCGCTCCCCAATAAACGTGCACTCGAGCAGCAACAGCCGCCATTCGCCACTAAGTAGCGGCGACGTCACTTGTGCCAGTCTAGGTGCACTTCGAGGCCACTTGAAGCGTGGAAGGCTGAGATGGCTGGCAGATGCACCACCTGTGCTCCCAAACTGTGCCAACTTGCTGCGTTTTATTCTCCCGGCGCTCCGCTCGTTGTTGTGAGCGTCGCTCCTCTGCCCTCCGTGGTCGTTGGGAGGGCGACTGCCTCCAATTGACAAGTAGCAGCGTCCTTCACAAGCCTCCTCCATACATTCAAATACAAAGATCCCCCGTATAGCCTGAACAGACTGTTGGGGCAAGTGCTGTTAGCGCACGTCTATGAAGGCCGGTACGGCACACGAGGGGGTCTTTGTTTGTGGCGATGTTTACACACAACACCAGGTACTCATTTGAGGCGTGAGTCGACCTAGAGGAGGCCCAGAACCGGTTCAGATAATCGTCACCGGTATTGACCGTGAGCGGCGAATCGAACTCGGGTGGCCTTGTTCGAAGTGCAGCGCGCTAACCACTACGCCACCGCTCCACACATTCACGCACACAGACATCCATGCTGGAGCCAGTGCCGGATTAAGCTAATGCGGGGCCTGTAGCATATGTTATAATGTTTTACTTGCATCGTAAAGTAATTGTATTTTTTCATTTGCTATACAGCCAGATAATACGACAAATCGCTAACCTTAAACACCCAGTCGTTCATAAAAGTTGAAGGCGGTATAGTACTATAGTAATAGAGCAAATGCAGAATAACTGAACCGGAATTGATAGCTTGGAAGCATTTAGCGCGGGGCGCTTGAAAGTGCGGGGCCAGTAGCTACTTTGTAGCTACATGTGTAGTTACTTGTGCAGCTACATGTGTAGTTACTTGTGCAGCTACATGTGCAGCTACATGTGTAGTTACATGTGTAGTTACATGTGTAGCTACATGTGTAGCTACTTGTGCAGCTACATGTGTAGCTACATGTGTAGCTACATGTGCAGCTACATGTGTAGCTACATTGTGTAGCTACTTGTGTAGTTACATGTGTAGTTACATGTGTAGCTACATGTGTAGCTACTTGTGCAGCTACATGTGTAGCTACTTGTGTAGTTACATGTGTAGTTACATGTGTAGCTACAAGTGTAGCTACTTCGTGCAGCTACATGTGCAGCTACATGTGTAGCTACTTGTGCAGCTACATGTGTAGCTACTTGTGTAGTTACACGTGTAGCTACTTGTGTAGCTAAATGTGTAGCTACATGTGCAGCTACTTGTGCAGCTACTTGTGTAGTTACACGTGTAGCTACTTGTGTAGCTAAATGTGTAGCTACATGTGCAGCTACTTGTGCAGCTACTTGTGTAGTTACACGTGTAGCTACTTGTGTAGCTAAATGTGTAGCTACATGTGCAGCTACATGTGCAGCTACATGTGTAGCTACACGTGTAGCTACTTGTGTAGCTTACATGTGTAGCTACTTGTGTAGCTAAATGTGTAGCTACTTGTGCAGCTACACGTGTAGCTACTTGTGTAGCTACATGTGCAGCTACTTGTGTAGCTACACGTGCAGCTACACGTGCAGCTACATGTGCAGCTACTTGTGTAGTTACATGTGTAGTTACATGTGTAGCTACTTGTGCAGCTACTTGTGCAGCTCTCCGTTCCCAGCGAAGTGGAATTCACACGAATGCTGCTGCTACCTCCGCCGTGAGCAGTGTGACCCGCAGTGTGAGCGTGGTGGTGGTGGTCCCCAAATTCCACCACCTATCACGAGTATCACCCACCACTCCACCAACCTTCCCCTAGGGAGGGTGTTGATGGTGGGGGGGGGGCTGGTTAGGGGGGGCTGGTTAGGGGGGGCTGATGGGAGGTGGGGGGGGGGGGTTCTCCTGCCCTGATGCCCCCCCCACCCCCGTACCTGGGATGTGAATGTTGGCAGCGAGGAGGTAGACGGCGCACAGCGACGCGAGGCACAGCCCCGCGAAGACCGCGCGGTGTAGCCCCCTGCTCATGCCCCTGCCAGGAGCTCCCCGGTGTCCCCCAGGGATCCCCTGGGGGGGTCCCCGCACGAGGCCGAGGAGCCCGCGGACTCCGGGGAAGACGATGGAGCGGCACAGGGATCGCCACGGGCGGGAACGCCGCACGGCTCCGCGTCTGGACGCGGTGGGGTTGGTGGACATTGTCGGAGCGCGCACGTGGGGCAGTACACGCAGCACACGTGGGCATTACACGCGCGGGCAGCACGCACGGATCGCGTGCAAGGGGAGTGCACGCAGCGTGCACAGCAGACAGGCGAACGCGGTACGTTTGGGGAAGTACGCACAGTGGCAGCAGCACACAGACACAGTACCGACAGCACACACACACAGTGTCGGCAGCACACACACACAGTGTCGGCAGCACACACACAGTGTCGGCAGCACACACACACACAGTGTCGGCAGCACACACACAGTGACAGCAGCACACACACACAGTACCGGCAGCACACAGACACACAGTACCGGCAGCACACAGACACACACACACAGTACCAGCAGCACACAGACACACACAAACAGTACCGGCAGCACACACACACAGTGTCGGCAGCACACACACACATACACACACACACAGTACCGGCAGCACACACACACAGTACCAGCAGCACACACACACAGTACCAGCAGCACACACTACCGGTACACACGCACACGGCGCGCGGGCACAACGCTCAATTCGCGATCACAATACTCACAGCGAGTGCTCACGACACTCACCCACAGCACACACAGAGTACACACAGTACACACACAGAGTACACACAGAGTACACACAGAACACACACAGCACACACACAGCAGATCGAGAGAGAGAAATCGGTACGAGATTCGACGCGGAGAGCGCGGCAAAACTGCGATCCAGGTGAGCGTGACGCAGGTGTGGTGGGGGTGGAGTGGGAGGTGGTGGGGGTGGTGGAGGTGGAGGTGGGGGTGGTGGTGGTGGAGGGGGTGGTGGAGGTGGTGGAGGGGGTGGTCGTGAGCGGATGGCGCAACGGTTTCGAACCCGGCGACCCGAGCCCGATTCGCCGCTCACGGCCAACACCGGTGACGATTATCCGAACCGGTCCTGGGCCTCCCCTAGGTCGACCCAGCCTCAAATGAGTGCCTGGGTGCGGTGTGTAAACATCGCCACTGGGGAGACAAAGGCGGCCGGGCGTGTAACTGGCCGCGCACCCCCTCGTGTGCCGTGCCGGACTTCATAAACGCTCCTCGCTAAACAGCACTTGCCCCAAAAGTCTGTGACAGGCTACACGGGGGATCTTTGTCCTTTGCTAGTGGATTTGACCATGGCCGCCGCTTGCGTGAGACGCGAGAGAAATTAGATGCGGTGGAGCCGGTTCGAGAAATCCTCTCGTATAAAGGTTCCAATTGCCTGAATCGACCATTCCATCCGTACAGGGGGGGGGGGGGGGCTGTCTGGTGCAGCCGAATGTGTCATCGGCTGAGGTGGAAGTCCCACAGGAGACGCAACAACACCCCCCCCCCTTACCCGCGATAGTGAAGTGGTCGCGTCCGGCACGAAGGCCACGTGGACGCCTGAATCCGGTGTGGTTTCACCTGCGGGGAGCGGTGGAGCAGTGGTTAGCGCGCCGCGGTGTGAACCAACCCCGGGGCCTGCCGAATTCGATTCCCGCAACACGGCCAACACGAATATTTGCACCGGTCCTCGGCCACCCCCCTAGGTCGACTCAGCCTCGAATGAGGACCCGGCGCGGTTTGTGGTGAAACGACCGCCACTTTGGGGGAGTTTCGTCAATTCGTTTTGCTCGTTGTTTCATGCTGACGCGCCGGGGAGGTCAAATTGAAGCGGCCACGTCTGGGTCGCAATCTCAGGAAGCTGCCGATCATCACGACACTTTGATATCGTGTCGCACGTATCGTGGAATCGCCATATCGTGGAATCGCCATATCGTTTGAAAACCCTCGCGAAAATTTCACAGCGGCCGGTAGGTGGCCACGAGGTGCGTGCGTCACCTAAAGTCCTAAACTAGAACTAAATAAAATATTTAAAAATACTTTAAAAAAAACACGCTTTCATGAAATGTACAGTACAGTACTGTCCTAGTTGCCCCTCCCCCTGCCCCCATCGCCCCTCCCCTCCTTCCACACCCCCTGCCCCTGGGCTTGGCTACCCGAGGCTTGCCGTGACGTAAGGGACCGCGGCGATTTGCAGGCAACGTGAGTTGAGCGTGGACAATTGGAGCCGTAAAAAATAATGTTTTAAAATATTTTTAATTTCAATGATATAATATCGTGTTGTCATCACTATGACATAGCTATACCAAGTTTGCAGTCGATACGATATTGGGAATACAGGTTAAAATTGAGTTACACGATTTGAGGATACAACACAGTAAGTTAAATAAAAGCGTGTAAAATGTTTAAAAATATATATTTTGGAATTTTAATGATAGAATATCGTGTTGTCATCAGTATGACATACCTATACCAAGTTTGCAGTCGATACGACATTGGGAATACGGTTAAAATTGAGTTACAAGATTTGAGGATACAACACAGAGTAAGTTAAATATAAACGTGTAAAATGTTTAAAATATGTTTTGAAATTTTAATTTTAGAATATAGTCGTGTCATAAATATGACAGGTATTCAAGTTTGCAGTCGATAACACATTGGGAATTGGGTAAAAATTGAGTTAGAAGTTTTTTTTTGATGATACAACAGACGGGGAGTGAGTTAAATAATAATTTTAAAAAACCCTGACGATTTGGCTGCGTCGGGTTTTAACGACACATTTATATATGAACCCCCCCAAAAAAACACCCTATTCTATTTCATTCTAATTGTGCAGGGAAAAAAACCAGAGGACCTGGAGAAAAATCCACGTGGACAGAGAGAGAGAGAAAAAAACTCCAAATATTCAGCAGCAGACGTCAGAGCCGAGGTCCCCGAATAATCGAAAATCAAAAATCGCAACGAATTTATTCATGGTCACTCCGTCCCACCGCTCTCGTTCTGCATCAAGCACCTGCCAAATTTGCCGTAGTCATCAACAAAACTTTTAAACTTTAATCAGCGCATCGTGTAGAGCTCGTCGATAGGAACAGATGGCCGTGTCGTTCGCCTTCAACAAACATAAAATGACGTCGCAACGCAATTGATGCGAGAGCCAGGGAGGGCTTATAGGACCTGGGGTGGCTTATAGGACCCGGGGTGGCTTATAGGACCCCGGGGTGGCTTATAGGACCCGGGGTGGCTTATAGGACCCGCGGTGGCTTATAGGACCCGAGGTGGCTTATAGGACCCCGGGGTGGCTTATAGGACCCGCGGTGGCTTATAGGACCCGGGGTGGCTTATAGGACCCGGGGTGGCTTATAGGGCCCCGGGGTGGCTTATAGGACCCGGGGTGGCTTATAGGACCCGGGGTGGCTTATAGGACCCGGGGTGGCTTATAGGGCCCCGGGGGCTTATAGGACCCGGGGTGGCTTATAGGACCCGCGGTGGCTTATAGGACCCGCGGTGGCTTATAGGGCCCCGGGTGGCTTATACGGCCCCGGAGGGCTTATAGGACCCGGGGTGGCTTATAGGGCCCCAGGGTGGCTTATAGGACCCGGGGTGGCTTATAGGGCCCCGGGGTGGCTTATAGGTCCCCGGGGGCTTATAGGACCCGGGGTGGCTTATAGGACCCGCGGTGGCTTATAGGGCCCCGGGTGGCTTATAGGGCCCCGGAGGGCTTATAGGACCTGGGGTGGCTTATAGGACCCCGGGGGCTTATAGGGCCCCGGGTGGCTTATAGGACCCCGGGGGCTTATAGGACCTGGGGTGGCTTATAGGACCCCGGGGGCTTATAGGGCCCCGGGTGGCTTATAGGGCCCCGGGGTGGCTTATAGGACCCGCGGTGGCTTATAGGGCCCCGGGGTGGCTTATAGGGCCCCATGTTCCCGCCATAATGTTCAATTGGTCAAACGTTGCGGTCCCCTACACGGCAGATCGAGATGTTTTGAGGCAATGAATTAGTGTTTTTTTTGTTGACACGTGGCCAGAAACAACAGCAATGATTGATACTCTTTAGTTCTTTCGGTAAAGTCACCATGTAGGTAAGAAATGAAATTAAAATTAATAAAACTTGCATCTTGAATCCCTGCCTCATATGATGCAGCAAATCTGGCTGTGACGGTCCCACCCGATGACGGAGACTTGTGTTGCCTCCGAAACGTCGTGATTTTATAATTTTTATTAATTTTAATTACATTTTTTACCTACGTGGTGACTTTACCGAAAGAACTAAGAGTATGAGGCCACCGCAAGTTAAAACCTACGCGCGTGAGGGAGAAACACTCAATGCCTTTGCTCTGCCGCCGTCTGCCAGAGCCAACGTTACGGCTACCCCACCCTCGATGTTGACATACCCACAACCGCTTACTTGTTTGAGGCTGAGTCGACCTAGGAGGAGGCCCAGGACCGGTTCAAATAATAATCGTCACCGGCGGCCGTGAGCGGGGATCGAACTCGGGCCGCCGGGTTCGGAGCTCAGCGCGCGAATCGTGACGCAATCGCTGCCCCGCCCCCCCGCCCCCCCCCCCGCTGCTGCTGATGACGTGTGTGTACACTGTGTGTATGTGTGTGTACACACACACACTGTGTACACTGTGTATGTGTGTGCAGCCCATCGCATAGGATTGGCTAGCGCCGACTGACCGGCTGATAGACTTAGCACGAGCGTTATATTGTATTCTAAAAATAGATCTTCGGTTGACGACCGAAAGTCAATGTCAGTTTCGGCCAAAACCGAAACCACACCGAAAGTTAAAAAATGACTTTCAGCCGAAACCGAAAGTATGCCGAAAGTAAAAAATTGACTTTCGGCCGAAACCGAAAGTAAAAAATAGACTTTCGGCCGAAAGCGAAAGTAAAAAAATTACTTTCAGCCGAAATCGAAAGTTAAAAATTTACTTTCGGCCGAAATCGAAAGTTCAAAATTAACTTTCGCCCGAAACCGGCGCCGAAACCGAATTTCGATCGGCCTCATAAAGAATGATCCGATAGGAATTCAACATTCAAACTTGATTTGAAGCTATTTAAGGCCTCGACACAGAGGCATTGGGACTCTGTGTCTATTTTGTGTGTATCTCTCTGTGTAGTCTCTCACTGCTTGTGTGTCTGTCTGTGTGTCTATGTTGTGTGTCTCTCTCTGTGTCTCTGTGTGTGTGTCTCTGTGTTGTCTCTCTCTGCTTGTGTGTCTGTCTGTGTGTCTATGTTGTGTGTCTCTCTCTGTGTGTTTCTGTGTGTGTGTCTCTGTGTTGTCTCGCTCTGCTTGTGTGTCTGTGTGTCTATGTTGTGTGTCTCTCTCTGTATGTCTCTGTGTGTGTGTGTCTCTGTGTTGTCTCTCTCTGCTTGTGTGTCTGTCTGTGTGTCTATGTTGTGTGTCTCTCTCTGTATGTCTCTGTGTGTGTGTCTCTGTGTTGTCTCTCTCTGCTTGTGTGTCTGTGTGTCTCCGTGTCTGTGTTTTGTCTCTCTCAAATTTAGCATTCTTTGGAAGAACGTAATCAACCAGGTAGGGTGTTGACTGTTGTGTTAGCTGACTCTCTGTGTTGAATTGCATTCTATTTCTCAGTTTACTATGTTTGTTTTCTCATTCATTCTTTGCTGATGACGGTTGCTTGTGTTGGAATCGAGACGTCGTATTCTATTATTGTTTAATTTATTTTCTTTCTACGTGACTTTACCGAAAGAACCAAAGAGTAATTCCTGCAGTCACGAAAGCTTAGAATCGAGATAGAACAATTGTTAAGTTAAATAAATAAAGTTATAACAATAAAAAATTAAGCAATTCCAATACGAAAGCAATAGGACTTTTCAAATCGCAAAAAATCGCAGCCTTAGCAATTTGCTAATCGCATTGTTTTAAATTGCGAGTTCGATTTGAAATCGATTCATCGTTCAGCCCTAGCGGCCACCCACCTGTGCCTCCTGTGTCGTGCCGAAATTCAGAGGCGATAACAAAACATCTCCCCAGAGTTTGTTTATTCTATGGGGGGGGGGGGGGGGGCGATTATTTATATTGTTGGACATTTGACGTCTACAGGTAGTCCCCGAGTTACGATGCTCCGACTTACGATATTTAGATCTTACGATGGCGATACGACAAAATTGCCATCAACAACCTAACATCGTTCAAGTATGCAGACGACGGACAGAATCTTGGTGAGTACAGTACAATATGATACGTTACGATACGTTCAATGCATGTAATGATACGTAGCTTTAGCGATTTTATTTTAAGGTTACCATGATACGATACGTTCACTGCATGTTAAAAGTTTTTTTTTTAGCAGATAGGATTGCTTCCTGAAAAAACTTTCTATTAAATTGCAGTTCATATAGGTAGGCTAAGAATTTACCTTGTTTTTTTTACTTAACATTTTACTGTGCAATACAGTATTGTAATTAATAAATACATACAGTATATAGCTTATACAGTACGGTACTGTAAATTGCTCTGTTTTGC